ATATTTTTAAATAGGTACTTGAACCTTATTAAGTCATTATTCATTGTTAAAAAAATCTTTATTTGGTAATTGGTAGACTATAAAATCTAATAAAGCATAAAACAGTTTTAATTTTTATCGGCTTTTAAAAGAGAGGAAGTAAATAAGCACTTAATTCGCAAAACTTGTTCAATCAACTTTTAGGTTTCCAAAAATTTTATACTCCAACATTAATTGCGGCAGTTACTGCTCTTAGTAACTTTCATAAAAATTCTTATTTTTTTCATTCAAAAAGTACATACAAACCCACTTTTACACACATTTAGAAAAAAAAATTAAATTTACGAGTCTATGTAATGTAGTGTAATTGATGTGTTTGTCGATTTCCGTCTTGCACATTAATCAATTTCAACAGTTATAATCGAACTAAAAAATATTACGATCATGAAAAATTATTTATTACAGACATAATAACAAATTTTACTGCAATTTCATTAATCGAGGCAGATTTTTAAATGTCTGGCAAATGAGCAATTAGCAATATCTTTTTATTTCAAGGGAGATATAATATAATCGTTACCTAATTTATATAAATCAAATCTTAATTGGTAACAAAAAGTAGTCATTATTCACCTGCTTCCACCTATACCTATTATCTTTATCTACATTTCCGGATCTCGGACCCGTTGCAAAAACTAAACAGCTTTATTTAATTATAAAACTATTTTATCACATGACTTGTAGTTTTACATTGCTGCAATAATTTACCAAACACGGTAGATTTTTTTAAAACTATTTAAATAAATTATTACACATACAGGAAAACAGTAACCCTACTCTGAATTTGAATGTTAATTGCGATTAATTAAAATTTCACTTCGCATCTTGAATTCCAGCGATGGCTATCTTATCGGAAATTGAAAAATTTTCCTCAACGAGAAAAATGCAGCTTTTATGTCTCGTCACCCAATTGCTATTAATCCAATTTCTACCGCAATGTAATTTATTGATCAATAAATGTACAGGTAGTAATAATTGCAACTTGGTGAATAATTCAAAATAAATATCTAAACTCCTGAAAAAAACTTGCGATTTGTTTTCGCTTGTTGGCATCCAAATCCAATTAATCACTTTAGTTAATCCGAGCGAAAAAATAATGAATTATTCATAAATTCCTGGCGAGGCTTTAATTTGTATAAAACTTGTGTTTTAATAAAGAAGCATTTTTGTTGAACACATTTTAATTAAATTTTGAGTAAGATAAAGTCGTCGTTATTGCGGCAGTTATTCTTAAGTGTTGAGTCTTATCATTACACCTTTCTCCCAAGTGCAAGTCAAGTCGACCAAATCCGTAATTAAAACAACGCTAAGAGCGACCAATGATTGGAAATTAGTTGGGCGAATATTTTTGGATCAAAATATGAAGCAATTCCACCGGTATAAAAGCAGAACGGCACCTTGGAGGAGTACCAGTGATCTGATTGGGTTAGGGGAAACACCATGGCAAGATCGGCGTTGGTAAGTGTGCATACCATCAAAACGCCCATAACAAAATTTTTCAGATAACCGTAGGGTTAGCAATTTTCCTACAAACTTGCAACAGTGAATTTGCCTACCCTTACACCGAAGCCAAATTCTTGAAACAACCATCGGTGGTCTACGTCCCGGTATGTACCCCTGAATGCTTCAAATCATCCCATCAAACCCACCAATCTCATTTCACACCCATCAGCGCGGAAAAGGTGGTAACAAAAGGTAGTTTTCCCGGTTTTTACCATTGAATTTCAGGCTCACTTCGGAAACCTCCCATTGCAAAACCATGAACACCAGCTGAATTACCACCAATTGGAGGGATACCAACACCAAGTAGAGGGTAATCATCACGCGGATTCGGGAAGTGCGTCTGTTTACCAGCAAAGCGACCATCATGGGTCGGAACACAAGCACTCCATCCATCACCATGGGTCGGGGGAGAGTCACCAAATGTTCAAACAGGAACACCAGCACCATGGGTTGGAGGATGATGGCCAGCATTACAACCATGAACATCACCATCACGAAAAGGATAAAAATATCAATTATAAGTTCGAGTATTCGGTGAATGACCACAAAACCGGAGATGTGAAGCACCACAAGGAGGAGCGACAGGGGGATGCGGTCAATGGGGAGTACTCCCTGTTGGAGGAAGATGGAAATGTGAGGACCGTGAAATATTTCGCCGATTGGAAGTCCGGTTTCCATGCCCAAGTGCACAATTCGAAGCCCCGGTCTCACGGCTGATTTATCCACTCTTCATTTAATCGTATTCCTAGTCTCTTGTATTTTTGTATAATCGTACAAATCGAATGTGATAAACCGATAGAGTTATGTATTGGTGTTTTTAATAAAATTTTGGAAAAAAGCTCGCTTTTAATTCCCGCTCAATTATCAGTTAATGACAACTTAGGAAATTAATTTATTTGCATCGATTTCAGTTTAATGACATATAAAAAGTTTTGTATGGGAGAAAGTGAAGTAATAAATACGTAATCGTAACGTTGAAGTGATAGAAAGTAATCCATAATCAAGAGATAAATTAAAATTGGATGCCATTAACTTCCTATTTAGATCGAGGGGCAAGGCTGGCCGGGAATGCTGGTAATTTTACAAAAACGTGATCCAAAGTTGGCAGATTTTTGCTCGTACTTTATAATTACAAGTTTCTAATAAATGTTTCATACCAGAGGCGAGAAAAGAAAGCACATTTAAATATTCCGAACGATTAAAAAAATTCATTATACGAAATTAGTTCAGTTGAAAGATTTAAATTGCGGGATTTTCATTTGTGGACTTACGTAATTTTTAAAGGTTTAATTAACACTAGCAGTTTTACCATCGGTTAATTAATCGACAAATTAGTAATCAAGACGCTATAAATTTATTAAGTAATTATTGTTGACAGTCTTAATTGTAATAGCACTTGTTGCACTTTTAGCGGAAATAATAAATATGGAATTATTAGGTACTCCCACACGCTAAAAATTAAACCAGAATTTAAGAGTTTATTTAGGATATTTGCCTCATAAACAACAGCATTTCCCTCCTGCGAGATTACTTCCGCGGGAGATAAAGCCAAACTTAGGTAATGATACACTTCCCACTCTAAAATCAACAAGCAATAATTTGTTTCATTAAAGTAAATCCTTTTTCAGTAGTTTAAAAAATGGTGTAAAAACCAAAAAAAAATTGATATTTTTTCATTATTTAAAAAAATAGTTTTTACAAATTGAAACACGTCTCACTCTTCGTCAAAACACGATTTTTTTAATATTTTCAAAAAAAATTTAAAGGTATTTAAGAGGATATTTGAATTCACTATAATGATAGAATTCTCTCTACTAATTGAAATAAAAAATTAAATAGACAAAAATAGTAATGAGATTATAATTTCTTAGCAGTTGTTCTATTTGTCACGCACATTTGTTTGTTTTTGAAACAAATCTTGCGTAAGAAAAAGTTTACTGTTTTATAATTTATGTTCGTCTAATTAATTAATACCTAGTAATAATTACTAACGCAATATCGTAACAAAAACCATGAAAATGACATTTACGATCTGAAAATTTCATAATTTACAGCAATCAATGAGTGTTGAAAAGATAAAAACAATTTTAAAGAAAGTTTATAACGGATATTTATTTTTAGCAATTAAGAAGTTATCAAAGCTGCTAAGCACTGCTTGGTAAGTCTTCGTGTTAGACATTACATATAAAAAACAAAATTATACCTACTGTACTTATTATGAAGCTTAGTTTTTACATTAATAAAGAAAATCACAATTCTTAATTGCTGAATCATTTTATTCAATTACAATGAAAAAGTACATTGGTAAAAATTTTACAATTTCAATATGCAGGTACTTTGATTCCAAACTCACTTCTACCAACTATAGAAAAACAAAACTTTGATTCCAAACTCACTCCTACCAACTATAGAAAAACAAAACTCTTAAAACTTACAAACCGTAAACACACATACAAGCTGAGAACAACACGAAAAGTCATCTGTGTCTGGCTTTCTTGTTATTAGTTTTTTTAGCACTTGCACTAAAACTTTTCTGTTTAGCCGAAATGTCTCTATTCGGGCTATTCCGATGATCAAGACCGTTTTGTACACCATTCAACGAATTCGTCGAATGTTTTCCTGCATTTTTCATTCCTGAATCTATATGATTGGAATTAGGACCTAAGTTAGTATCACTAGAATCTTCATTTGTTTGAGACTCGGTATCGCTGTGTGGTTCCACTACGAGTAAAAAATAAGACTATAATTATTTGAAACGGTTACTATTCGATTTTAATACCTGTACAGAAAAACTAGACGTTTTTTAGCAATTTAATTGCCAATTCATTCGGCTGAAAAAATTAATGGTGAATAATAAATCGACGATTTTGTGCAATGTAAGTAGATTTTTCTGTTAAGGTATTTCAATGCATCATAAACAAAACTAATTACTACAAAACGAATAAACCTGCGTTTTGGCGACTGTTACAAAAATTTCTACATTCCATCGTCAAAAACAATGTTTTTATGTCATAAAACTATTTTATAGACAATCACAAGATTTTAGTTGCTAATTAAGTGAATAGGATCCAGGATACAATTATTAGGATACAAAAAAAGAAACAACAAAACAAAAAATATGAAAAAGTAAAAGTAACATTAAAAATGAGAGAGATTCCACGGTAAACAAGCAAATTTTCCAACACAATTAATTTCTAAAAAGCGTTCATTAGAAAAATTATGTTGACATCAATAGTTTTTAAATTGCTGGAGCCATAATTAATTTACGGCCCACTCTTCCGCATATTTGTTCCACTGTTATTATGTAAATATTTTCCATGTATAGTCATCAAGTTAAAATGTTTGTGATACAACGCACTCAAAATTAAAATATCAAAGGCGCAAAATGCAATCAAGTTTAAATAATTTCGAAATATTTATATGTTACATATTAACAGTAACATATTTATTACAGAGATATTGGAATGTCTCTCATTATTTCAGTGCATATAAAAGGCAGTAAGCAATTAGAGAAAACATCTATCTAAAAGAAAGTTCACAGCAAAACTACCACAAAAATACTACAAAAAGCTACAAAACTATTACAAGAAAACTAGACATAGGAATGATTTTTTATTTCATAACTATTCTTACTTTTCTCCTGATTTTGGTCAACAATTCCACTAACCGCCTGTAAAATTTTAATTACAAAAAATACACAAAATTGAACATGACTTACTGCCATTGATGTTATAGAAGATTTAGAAAATAGACGTTCAGCTTCTTTAAATTTCCTATTTCTTTTATCTGCTTTTGAGTTTGTTGTTTTGTTACTTGATAAATACCGATCCCACCCTCTAATAATATTCCCATATAATTGAGTATCCTCTAAATACGAACCCTCAAACGCGTAAATTTGGCGTTCAAGATTTGCTAAGGTTTCCTATAAATGTTAAATACACCTTGTAATTTAATCAAGGGGGCACATTTTTTTTTAATTTCAAGACAAATAACATTTTTTTGGGAACACACAAATGGTGTCTCTGATAAAGCTTCTAAAACAAGTCTTACCGCTATCTCTGCTTTTCTTTTAACAAGTTCTGCTAACTCTTGACGAGCATCCACTGATACATTGTTTTTGGCCGACATATTGTTATATTATCACAAATAACAACAAAGTAAACGTTGTACTTATTAACTAGTTGTTTTATAACAATTGTTCCTGTTAATTCGTAAAGAATTACACAAAATTGTTTATTTATAAGTTTTATAACAAAACACTTGACGCTAATTTGACAATTGACGTCTTGTCAAATGTCAAATACGTCACCTCCAACGTAAGAAATCGAAAAGTTCTAGAAAAGTAACCAGAATATTAAGGGTTATGGGACTTATGTGTTATAGTGGTTATGAAATAATTAAAACCACAACAATAAATTACTATAAATAAACATCCTAGACCACTACGAAAACTTAATTATACATTTATCCAACTTGTGCGAAATGTCCAACGACAAATTATTAAGGGTTACTCAAATGAATGCAATTTTTCTTGATAATGAAATTTATAAGGCTCTCATGCAGATTATTCACGAGACAAGTCGTTTTTTACCCGTAAGTGTACCTCTTTTTAATATTTACCCCTTAAAAACGTTTATTTTAGCCTGGTTATGTAGCCCCCATTGAACCTGAGTTAAACTTAATTGTGCGTTTAGCGCTTCTGAAAAATTCAGTTTGTCGCAATGAAAGCACGTTTGGGCAACAACTTTTATCAATAAAGTACAGTAACATGTCGAGTTTGAAAAAAGTACTGTATTTATTTGGAAACTGTTTTGATTACATTAAAAACCGACTAGAATTTTGGAAACCGTCTCACAAGATTAATACGATTATGTTCAAGATACACTTGGTTGTAGTTTTATTAAATTTTATCAATATGTCGATATTTCTACGTCATGGAGTTAAGCCTTTATTGATAGAGAGGTGTTTAGGTTTGAATCAAGAATACTCAACCAAAAATGCACCAAGGCATTTTCAAACAAAATATTTAGCCAGGGAGTCACTTTGGAGTGGTTTTATTGTAAGAATTTCTTCTTAATTTAACTTACTTTAAATATTTTTGCAGGATATTCTAATCCACATAATTCCATTAATTAATTATCACAAAATTAAGAGAGCAATAAGACACTACAATCCATTCCACAAAAAGCCAACATACGTTGTGCTCAATTCACGTGTTATGACAATGCATTCCAAGTGTGCACATTGTAAGGAAAACCCCATTTTGCCCCACCATATGGGTTGTGCTCACATATTTTGTTACGTCTGTTTAAAGGTACTTTGTCTCTTTTATAGTAACAACTTTAATATTCGGTTTCAGGGTAATCAGACTGCTGATTCGAAATATGAATGTCCAATTTGTGAACATAGAAATCCCAATGTTTTATGCGATAAGGTTTCTGTGATAAGTTAAAAATAAATTTTATTAGAAAACTGTAAATATCTTAATAAAAAAAACATTACATGACTAAGGTCTTTGGTTTATGAATGGCTGTTGTGGCTTAGTGACTCCGCAAATCGAGTTTCTAAAAAAGATAGTTAAGATTTAGAAAACTGTTTTTAGAAAATTACGTTGCATTATAGCTGGTGTCTTCCTCACTGAAGAGAATTGTACTATGACGTAGAACAGTAACGTTACTATAAGAACTGTTATTGTTGACGCTAAAAATATGTATTCATCACGTCTGCGATATTTACAGCATTTTTGACTCCAGAATTGCCTGGTGTTATTTATCTGAAAATAAAATTATCAAAGCTCTTCATAGCTTAAACTTGATGACTTACTAAGTCAACCATATCCATACATCCCCCAATTTTCTCATTTTCATTACTAATGCTACGGTAGTAATTATCTAAATCTAAATAATCCTTTATACAAGTAGGGCACAACGTCGTATCATTCACGCTGTGATTAATACACTGCATAAATGTCTCATAATATTTATTAAAAGCTATCGTTTGTAGTGATTTATTTGGTGTTAATTTCCCATCAACAACTTGGAAACATTCTAAAAAATGTGCAAGTTATAAAATTGTAACTTTGAAGTAATGACGTACCATAACATTTCGCGTTATTCCACAAATTGTAGCTGTTGGTATATAAAGTCTGGACAATTTGTAATCTATCTAAATTTATAAGTGTATCAACGCAATAAGTTCCATTGTCTGAAACCTAAACGTCCGTTTAAGCCAATTTCACTAAGAAACACAAACAGTTTTACCTCTTTCATATCATTATAACTGTCTACTATTTCTATATAATCATTAACACAATTTTCACAAAATGTTACTGGTCTGGAATTTTGTATTGCACAAGAATTGAACTCCGCTGTAGCACTTGCAAATCTTTCTTTGAGCTCGGTGCAGTTTCTGTCTGCTTTCGAAGACTCTAGGATGCTTCTAAAACCTTACACTGTACTATTTCGTTCAAATTTTTGATCAAACACTTACAAAAGCACCAGAAACGCAAAAATTTGAAAATTCCACATTTGTTCGACAAAAAATAAAGCAAAACAACAATTCTTCGCACGATTTCTACTCACATATTACAAAACTGATATGATATTTACGTGATAATATTAAAAAATCCCCGTTTTATTTTTTGTTTAAAATAATAATAATGAAATAAATATAACCTAAAAGTCACCTGTGACAATGACAGCTAAAATTACTAGAATTATTTTAAAAATAATATCAAAACATAACCTATAAAAATAATAATTGAACAAAAATGTTAAAAAGAAGTGTTTAGAATATGGATCCTCCCGAAATTTTGCAAAAAAAGCTATATTTCCTTCTCGAGCAGTTGCAAAACATGGCTAGAGATTTGCCCCCGTAAGTTATTTTTTTCCGTGATTGACAAATAATAATTTTTTTAGGAAATACCAAATGCGCCTTCCTTATGAGTTATTGTCTAGTCTCGCAAATTGTTTATTAAACGATACGGTTTTTGAAATTGTGAAAGGGTTACTTGAGATTCAGCATGTGACTGAACAGCACTTGTATCAACAAAGACTCCAGTTTATCAATAACCAAAAAAGTAATACAGAATTTATTAAATAAGTTAAATATTAACAATGTTTTTAGTGGAGGAACATGAAATACTAAATCAATACATTGGCGATCCCGATAAAAAAGTAGAAGAACTTAGGAAGTTAATGATTAAACAGAAAGAAGAACTGAAACAGTTTGATATGGGGCTAGTAATACAGTTGGACGAAAAGGTAACATTTAGTATAATTTTTACATGTAGACATATATTGGTCTTAACAGGTGGCCGATCAGCAACAAGTCCTGGAACAAGCTGGAGTGCCTGGATTTTATGTTACAAAAAACGCTGTAGAAATTAAAGTTCAAATGCATCTACTTGACTTTATGCTCAGGTTGAGCAAAATGACTCTACCCTCATAGTCATAAAATTTCTTAAAATGTGGGTTATCTAATGGAAGTGGAACAGGAGGACAACAAATACTTCAAACTTTTCTTTTCCCTATTTGTAACATATTAACAAAACAAAATTCTTAATAACTTAATACAGTTGCTCCTATTGTTTAATTGTGAGTCTTAACCCAATCTACAGTAAAAAACAACAAATCTTAATATCTCCAGATTCTAAATATCAACAATGTTTAATTTGTTGCGTTTAACGCTAAATTTGATTTTAAAAATGAACTTTGTGATTGATAAATGCCTAACAGCTTGGCACAGACAACGCAATGTCTAACATTTAAAATAATACTATTAAAAGCACTACTTATGCGACCTTCTTTGGAGTGTTTGTACCATAGGACGATCCTTTGTCAATCTCAGACATTCCAATTGTTTTGTTCAACAACAAGTAAACTAAAAATATAATCTCAGTGCTAAAAATAACTTAATTTTAAATACTTACAAGCTCCTATGATGCTGGCGCCAATAGAAAAATAAAGCAACTCTCCGCTAAACAACAACTTAATTAAATAATACACCATGGGAAAACAAATTAAAGCAACCCAAACTACGATATTTATAACAGAATTAATCCTACGTTCCAACTCGAAGGGTTCTACTCTGGAAATACCCGAAGTGGCAAAAAAATCCCCCGTTTTCGCAAAACTATCTTTCAATTTATCCTTTCTCACAAACATCTCTCTGAGAAAGTCTTCTTGTTCGCGTTCAGTTTGTGGCACGTCTTCTAAAGGAATGCGTCTCATGTATATATGAGCCGTTACAGGTCTCCCAAATAACATGTTTCTAATGGTGGGTTTGTAGGGATCATTCTCATTAAAGCAAATTTCATTGTCGTAAATTGCTGGCACTTTGCCTTTCATCGAAGGCAGACTAGCTGTGAAGCCCTTGGTTCTTGGAAGAAGGTGGTGTTTTAATTCGGGGAGGTTCTTTTGACGGGCGAATTCGAGGGAGATTTTGTGTTTTGTCGGAGTGAAGCGCGTGCCTTCCGGGAAGAGCAATAACTAAAAAAACGCCCAGTATATTTTAATAGGAAAGTGGACATATTTATTATTTATTTACATTTTATGATATATTTCGTGTGTCGAAAAATAAACGTGGGAATACGATAACCAAAAAAGATTTTTATCACAAATTTTGTATGCAGTGTCTTCTTTCTACAATTTAGGAATAATTATTATCAATATGACTTTACAATTTATTTGCACAATTAAGAAAAATAACAGTTTTCGAATTTGTAAAATCGGTTTATTTTTTTACTTACTAGATTATAAAAAACACACTTGAAAAGAAAGATGAAAATTTTGCTTTTATACTGAATAAAATTATGTACTTCGTTCGTGAATTAAGATTTTTTTGTCAGTTGAGTTCACTTCTAACACAAATTCTTCTTTTATACAGAAATTGAATTTATATCTTATTAATTTATCTCAATCAAAGCAGTTGCGGTGTTGCCAGTGTGGTAACTAAACAATGTCGAAAAATAAATGTGGAAATACATAAATAAAAAAAGATTTTTACTCCAAGAGTCGCATACAGTTATTTTCTACAATTTGGAAAAAATTGATAGAGTTTTACTGTTTACGGTTTAACTCCCTTTATTAAGTGTAGAATTGAAAGCAAAAAAACCCTTGAAACGAAAAATGAAAATGTTATGATAATATTAAAAAAGCATGTTCCATGAATTTTGTTTGTTTTTCTAACAATGCAGTAAGCAATAATCAAGTTAGCTTGCATGTGAAAAGTTGGAACGTATGTATGACATTTTAAGTTCATTTAACATTGGATATGAAATATACAGTTCAGGTTGGGAAGTGGTCACTTCCTTATCAGTTGATATGTAATATGACAGTTTACGTTGGGAAATGGCCACTTCCCAACTTAAACTGTCATATGACATGTTTTTCAAAATTTGGTAAATTCTTTATTGGCTTTCTATTCTTTAAGAAGAATGATTATGAATAAAATAGTATACAAACGTTGGTGATCGTTGCTTCTTATTGCTAACCGCGGCTTTGGTCATCTTTCGCCTTCGTAATTAATGAAGCACTTCCGACCTCGGTATGTAATTTACTATTTTATTGTTTCATAAAAAATCTAATTTATTTTTTATGGCAGCATTATTTTATTACCGTTCGGACACATACATTTAGATTACTGTATATTTTTAGGTATAAAGTGTAATGTAACGTTTAATTAGTTATGGACAAAATACTTGATTGAATTTAAAAAATACTTTGATAATAAAAAGCAACTATCTAAAATAATTTGATAGATCAATTAATAAATTTAAAAAGCGTTTAAAAATTTTAAAGCGTTTGCTCATTTCCTTATCAGAAAAAAAAATAACAATTGAGGGTAATAACTTATCAAACACTTGAAAATATTCTTGAATAAACAGTGGAAATTCTGAAACGGATTTACCATTCAAAACGTGGAAAATTTATCAGTCAATTAAGTTCAAAATTATTTATCGTTGCTTAAAATAAACTCGAACAAATTAATGAAAGCACTTGTAGTTTCCTCTTTTAATTTAATAATATAAATTTGCTTTATTTTCAAATATTTACTGTTGTTTTGATGTCAAAATCGATTTAATTTTTTTATCACAAGTTAAATCAAATATGACAACAGGTAACCCCGTTACTCCCTCCACGGGTAACCCCTAGGAAAATATTTTTCAAATATGATCCTCAAACGTGTAATGCAAACTGCAAACTGTAGCAGTGTCAATATTTAACCACTTAGATAATTCCCCAAACTTATTGTTAATTAATGATAACTTGAAAAGTCACAATTGCTTTGATTTATTTTTATTGCTAAATTATCAAGTTTAAAAAATGCTCCTAGATTATACAAAATAATTAAGATAAAAACAAGAAAAAATGAACTGTTGATTGTCTGTTATTGTGATAACGATAACAGCTACGAGTAAATATGTACAATTGCGGACACGCAATTTTGGAGGATTTGTCATTCGACTGACGTAAAAATGTAAAACGTAAAAATAATTTATTGAGCACGTATTGCTGGCATTATTTCGGAAAATTGACGCCAAAAAATAATTTCAACTAAAACTTTCAAACGTCAATCATAGTGACAATAAAACGTGGTTTACATTGACATTTTTTGAACTGCCATATATATGATGTCCAAAATTCCGTGTCCGCAATTGTACTTACTATTTTCGTCTCAACTTATTTATTTTATCATAAATTCATAAAACGTAATTAAATCAAAAATACTTACCCACATTGGATCCGGATGTTCAGCCAATTCCGTAACTTGCGTATCTATCACTCTCTTGTCTTTGTCAAATGACCTTTCCAAAAATACAAATTCTGAACATTTCCACCCCCAACCCAACACTGGTATATACTGTACAACTTTTTTTGCATAAGCTTTACAATTCTAAAACAAATAAATTGATTTTTGTTAAAGTTGAAATGGCAATTCTTACCCCTAACATGTGTAACCTATCACAAATCATCCACCCCACTAGCCAGTCAATCTCATAGGTGTGATTCATGACACAATAAGAGTGTTCTTTGCCAAAATATTTGTCAAAATCTTCTCTATCAACGTAAAATATGATTCGGGAACCTGACCACCAATCACCCAAAAAAACCAATTCTATAAATGAAAATTTGGGTAAAACATCATTAAATGAATTGAAACTCACGTGAATAAATAGTGAAACAAAAATACCAGTTCAGTTTCCTGTAAAGTCTTCGGTTGAAGGGCCTTAATGTGAGGTAGAAGAAGCATTGTATAAGATTAACAATCACTCCTGAAGTGAAGAAAGTGATGGCAAAACATAAATGTATAATTCTTGACTGTTTTAATTTCAAGATATTCATCTTTGTGCAATTATGCGACTAAAACCTGGAACACTAATTTATGGTCACTTAATGTCCAAATAAGCTACTTATACTTAAGTTAATAGATAAAACGAATTAGTACCTACCTGTTGTAAACTGTCGTACCTAATGTATATTAATGTAACTGTCTGATAAATTCTATTATTTCAAATAAACTGAACACTGAATTCTAACCTTGACAAGAGTGAGGTTAACATCACCGAAAAATAACAAGTCCCAACAAAACCAACAAACAAAATGAATTAAACCCATTTACAACGTTTGATAAAAACATGCCAAACTGGTTTACAGAAATGAATTATTTAAACAATTTAACCCACCTTTATGCACACGATTGCGACGAAGTCTATTGTTTGCTTTGTTTTATAAATTATGATCAGAATTATTTTAAATACAGCAGTTTTGCATTATTGAACAATTTCTCGCAGCTTATGCCCGCTACAAAGTTCAAGATCATGACGGAACAGTTTTCAGAGGATGAAATTTAGGTCAATGTGTTTGTGCCCTTATGCCATCGGCCACCATCTTCGATTTAATTTAACAATAATGTGACCTCTAACCTTTATCTTTTAATAGAACAATAAAATTATTTTATTTCCGTGTTATCACTTCAAAGATTAGATAATTGAGATAACAAATTATATGTATCCAACAAAAGTCAATTGTTGTCATTGTCAATAATAAAGTGCAAAAGCAAATGTTTGCTAAAGACACGTATACGCTTGCGGAAATGGAGGTAATCTCGGAGGAAATAATGAAATAAAAAAATGATGAGAATCGTATCAAATCAATAAATAGCATATTTTATAAAAAAAATTTACACTAAGACTAAATTCAAGTTTTTTGTGTAAAGTATCTTAAAAAAATTGTGGGTAAATTACCAAGAAAGTATGTAAATACCAACCTACGCGTATTGTTGGTTGTCTATGCTGTTATGTTTTAATTGTTATGAATTGTATGAAATGGTCAAAGTTCATTTTCATTCTAAATAAATGAAAACGTTGAAAACAGGTAATTATTATTGTTATTTATACATTCATCACACAAAATGAAACATACTCTGGTACACAACGTGTTTAATTAGTGCAGTTTTACATTTATTGCTATACGCAGCACAGCAAAATATTCTTACACACAAAATAGTGGTTAAAGTTGTCTTTTTTGGGTTTTTTGTTTATATATAACGATCACTCCTATCGGTTTTTACCTTTTTACAAAAATTAAAGCTTACAAAATTTACTACAAAATTGGTCTTTTGAATTTTTGTTGTAGGACTAACCATAAGGCTGACAAAAAAACATCATTTAAAAAAATGTGCTCTATCCGCATTTAAAACAGAATTAGTCTTGTAATTTGAAAGAACTGACAGTAAATTAAATTTACTGGGTCCAATACTTCTTTAAAGGAGGGAGTCACGAGGGTCTATGAATACAAACTCACCGTTTATGTAATTTATGCAGAATTTTCTGTAGAAGTCTATTTCTGTATCAAAATTTCCTACAAAAATGGTAGGAATGTCGTAGGACTTCTGACCTTTGGAGTCTACATTAAAAATTCTTTGAAACACATTTCGTTAGTATATGACTGAAAGGTGACTCGGGTGTAAACATTACGGAGATATAAACAAAAATTTTCGAAGAAAGAGAGAATGAATCTCTAAGAGAGTGAAATAGGGAGTAAACGTTTAAACAAAGATATAAACATAAAATGCTTTAGAAGTGTAAAGGGGCTCAAAAATCAGATTTTTTGAAAATAGTTTTTTAAGGGAATGAAATGGTGTACACATTTAAAGGAATATAAAAACATAAAATTTCGAAAGTATGATCCTTAGAGGGTGAAGAAGTGCACTTTTCAAATTTTAACGAAACAAAGTAGGGTGTAAACGCTTAAAAACAAAATTAGAAAGATGAAACTTAGAATTCTGTGGGTGCAGAGAAGTGCACTAAGACGGCATTTTATGAAAATCATGCGAAGAACGAGACTACTGTAGCTGAATCCCATACAGAACATAGGTAGTTATCCAGCTTTACAGAGTACCTAAGTCCATGGAATGGTTTTGTAAACGGGCTTTTTCCCATTTTATATAAGAAATACACACAGACGAAGTCGCAGGCTAATGCTAACAGGATGACCCGAAAGACTTGATAAACCCCCGTGACACCCTCTAATAAACTGTTGAACCTAATACATCCAATTTACTCTAAGTTTTATTCAAATCATCGATATTAAACATTCTATCTATTAATAATGTACTGAACAAGACTGTAATTCGGTTTTCAATGTTTAAGTTGAAGACAAAGATGCCTCATATGAGGACCACTCGGAAGACTTTATAGAATCTTTAATGTGTTGCACCCAATAAATTCAATTTAATGTCAGTTTTTTTCAAATCACAAGATTAATATTGTTTTAAATGCGGATAAAACACATTTTTTTAAATAATGTATTTTATTTGCCTTATAACTCGCTTACGGTTAGTCCTACAACAAAAATGCAAAGAACCATTTTTGTAAGCTTTAATTTTGATAAGAATGTAAAAACCGATAGGAGTGATCGATCCGAGATATAAGCAAAAAAACATAAAAAAAGACACTTTTAACCCTTCCTCCTCCTCGAGCTCTTCCCACAACTTTGGAGACTTTTGATAAGCGTTTAAAAAAATTCCAACTCTCTAGGATTTTTTCCACCGATCGTCCTATTTTTGTCTAATTTGACTGGGCTAAAAAAAAGATTATATTATTTTATTTTTTAACATTTAAACAAATGCCAAACAATTTTTTTGTTATTATTTAAAAACGACACAAAGATACTGAAAGATTATACAAGGTGATTTAAAAGTGTCGGACCAACTCTCGAATGGTGATAAAAGACTTCATAAAAATAAATGCATTTTTTTCAAGCTTTGGTTTCTGAGAAAAAACAGAATTGATAATTTTCATATTATCATGTAGGCACTTTAGCTATTTTGTTTCCAATGTTGTCGGAAATAATTTATTGTTAAATTTGCTAGCTTGTTAAATGTTTTGTACACTTGGTTGCAAGAAAATCGAAAAATGTCAAAACATAAAAATGTCAGATTTTTATTTTTATCCATAGTTTGAACATGGCTTAATTCTAAAAGGTTAAGTTACTTAATCTGTAGTACTCACTACTCACTGGGTTTTCATTTTCACGTGAGTACTCAACTAATTGATTATCTTGATTTGCATTTGACGCTCTCGGCATTTAAGTGCGGCATTGCAGAAAAAATTATTTGAATGCGACAGATGACAAATTGACAACTAAACTGTCAAGGGCAAAACCTGTTTCAATCTAAAGAAAATACTATTTTTTGTTTTTATTGCATTGCATTTTATTGTACTCACCTACCAGAATTTTTTGAATATAAACAGTAGATAAAAATTACTTTATTTTACTAGACGATAAAAGACTACTTTATCTACTAAAATTAATTGATAAAAGCACTTTTTAACCTTGAGTACAAAATAAAAAAATTAAATATTTATTCTGTATAAATTTCAGCACCTGTAGAAAGTAAGTATATAAAATATAATTTTGATAAGTTCGTATCATTAAATTTAAAAAAGCACTACTAATATTAACACCCACACGAGAATAAAAACTGGCAGCCTTTTTCAAGTTTTTTATACATATTATTAAAGAATACAGAAGACTTCTAAAGAATTGTAAACTTTTATAATATTTTGAGTCCAAATACCTTGTCTACCTAAATACAATTAAAATATAATTAATTAGAGCACATTGCTTGTTGTTTGTTTTGATGTCCAAATTTAAAATAAATACGTATGTTTAAGAGCACAAAAATATTATAATTACAAAAAAGCATATGCTTATACCTAAGGTTGTGCTCTGCTACACTACATTAATATTTTTAATGAATAAAACATGTTAGTAACATTATTTATTGTGTTGTTTTGTAAAAATCGCTGAAGAAAAAAACAATAAATAAGTAAGCAGATTAATCTTATTTTATTTTATTATAATATTCTTCCTTAGAAAATAATTTGATCTTATATAAATTCTTACACGCTTGTTTAGAATATATCAAATCTTATAAGGAAAACAAACAAGAAATTTCTTACAGATTTCCAGTATCCTGTTGAACTGAAATGGTGAAATGAAGGAAGATAGTGCAATGAAAAATAAACTTTCATTATTTTATTATTTAACAAGAAGAAAACGACTAAATAGCCACTCTATACGCTTTTGATTTAAATTAAAATATACTTTTATTATTTTGAGGAAAAGGAAATACTTGCTATAAATATAAATTTAACATTATATAACACCGGTAATTTCGTTGTTGTTAGAACAATAACGTTTAGGGCGCAATGAAGCGGAATAATAATAAGACAATTATCGTACCTATAATAAAATTTAATTATTTTTTTAATTTGAAGAAAATGAAGAAGGCATTCATAAACTACACTAATAACAAATAAATCGAAATTATTTTTAACTAAACTGTTTTAATTTTCTATGAGAGAAGTAAAATCATGTTTTTATTCACATGGGATCATAATCGATTTGTTAATGTTGCATCAGAGCCCCTTATTGTTAGATAAAAACGAGAAAATTTCTCTTGTTAACATTAAACTACTTGAGCATTATTAACAAATAACATTTTCATAACATGTAATTGCAGCGGATGCGTGAAATAAAGGTTAAGCAAAGTCGAAAAATTAAGTAGAAAATAATAGAAAAAAAATCGTCCAGACACCACATCTTCGATCAAATGTAGCTTCAAAGAGGTCCAATCTATTTGTATTAGTTATTTAACATAGTGAAAGTGTATTGCAGTTGAATATTTCTGAACCTTATACTAAACATCTTTAAGTCACAAATTTGCATTAAATCGTCGCCACTAAACCCATCGATTTTTATTGGTTCTATGTTAATCCCATACGTTTACAATACCCCCTATTAAACAAGTTTGAATGATTTCGAAGCTCTTGTAACTAAAGACTATATGAAATTGCAATATCAGTGCTGTTGGGCAACTACAAAGAGCAACTTTTACAAATTCAACAGTTGCCGCTGTGAATCATTTTATTTCTTTCGCTATATTAGTGCGGTCGAGTCTCAAAATGTGCACCAAAGTTTGCATTTTGATTTTGTCAATCATTATCATCGTTAATGCCGAAGAATCAAAGGTGAGTGAAGCTGACACAAATCCCAATTTTGTTTAATTTCCAACTTCTACAGGAGAATAAATGTAATATTCCCCCAACAGCACCGAAAAAAATCGAAGATGTGATCAACAAGTGTCAGGATGAAATCAAATTGGCTATTTTAACCGGTGAGTTATTTTAAATATGTGCAGTGGGAAAATTATTAAAAGGCTGGGTAAAATTATGCATGTCCATGAAAAATAAGCCATTCACTGGTTATCTTTATGCATGTTTTAATTTGTATAAAGACACAAAAGAAGATTTTAGTTTTTTCTAGTCCAAGTGGACCATTTTTTGACCAAACACGTCATCAGATATAATTATTGTAATTAACATATTTTCTATTATTTTATTTTAAACTAAACTAATTATTGTGTAGAAATATGTTACGTAAATGCAAGATCTTAAAAAAAATGTACAAGTTGACGTCAGATGCTGCGAGAATTTTATAAAGAATGTTGTTTTAAATATTAATTTTTTAACACAAATTAGATTATGCTTCTAATTTATTCTGATTTGAGGCGAAGGACGGAGTTTTGTTTAAGAGTGTTTAATTTGTTGTCAATACAAACCGGCAATTGCCTCATAATTAATCAAACATGAATTAAGCACCAAATGACAATGTCTCGTGTAATTTGCGTGTTTTGTAACCTGACACGTGACCTGAAATTTTCACAATTAAGATAAACTCAAAAAAATTTAATTAGAAAACCTAGTTTTCTATTTTCTTATCAACCACCATGAAAGTGTTTCAGATCGAAAGTTTTAATGGTCAAACAAGGCAGTGTGTTAATTCACTTTCTACCATTTGATTTAACATGAAATTAATTGTCCACGTGACTTAAATTTTTTCAGAGGCTTTGGAAGCGCTCAGTATCAACGAACATGCCAAAAGTAGGGCCAAACGTGACACATTTTCCGACGATGAAAAACGCATCGCTGGTGTAAGTAATTTTGTAGAAATTTGCCAATTTGATTCAATGTCATCGATGCTAATCCATGCATGCACTTTTGTGACATTGATCCTTGGTAATTTCGACCAACCTAACTGCATTTTAAAAGTAAAATTGGCACAGTGTGGCCAACTTTCTAAACTGGTTATCAGTCTTGTCTTGAAAACAGAAATTTCAGTTACGTAATTAGATTTGGTACTAAATTTTCAATTTGGGACAAGACTGCCTTTTACTCCGTTTACAAAAATGTTCAATTAATTATTTATTTGTTTCAGTGTTTGCTCCAGTGTGTCTATCGCAAAATGAAAGCGGTGAGTATTTTGAAGCACTTTCGGAAAATTAAAGTATAATGAATATTTATTATTTTTATCAGACGATTTTGTAATTCGTCTAGAATTAAAATTTCGTAATAACTTTTCACGGTGGCTAATTTTTGGCAATTATATAACACTGGTATTTCTCAACTGTGGTGTTTTTAGGTGAACGAAAAAGGCTTCCCCACTGTCGAAGGCCTCGTGGCTTTGTATTCCGAAGGAGTGACCCAAAAAGAGTACATTATTGCCACCCTGCAAGCTGTCAATGTCTGTCTCAATAAAGCCCAGAAGAAACACCTTACAAAACCGCAATCTTTGGAAGGTTAATTGAGTGAAAAAATCCAATTTTTGACCTCGATTACACAATTTTACAATTTTCAGAACATGGAAAGACTTGCGATATTGCCTACGACGTGTTCGATTGTGTTTCGGAGAGAATTGGGGAATATTGTGGACAAACGCCGTAAATTGGACTAACATTTCGAAACAGAAAAATCACACAAAGACACTAGTCAGAGAATTTTTAACACAAACAGATTTTAGATTTAGTTTTTGTAATTCTCATCACTGTAATTAATGACATGATAATACCCATTAAGTTAATTTATTAACACATTCTGTAATTAAAACGCTGTTTACTTTTTTACATCGAAAACATTAAAAATCTTCTAAATTACCCTCCCCATTTAGCTCAAACAAAGCAGTAATAATTAAGCGAACAAACGTGTGAACTTATCAGATTTTAAAACTGAGGTCGATATCAACTGCTGGTATGTCGGTGTCGCAATGCTTATTTTAAATTGTCATTTGTGTTAGTTAATTAGTGTAGGTTTTTGTATTTTTTATAAATGGTAGGTACCCCTGAAAGTAATAAAATTTATCAACAGTGGAGATATTGTTTATGTGACGACCTTGTTGCTGGATTAAAAGGATGTAACATCCCGCTACTTATTACAATATCTCTCATAACTTATCGACTATTGTATATTAGGTAATTATGAAGAACAATGCCCTAGTTGCATTATATCGTCAGAGCTGTAAAACATCATAAAGTTTGCAGAAATCTGGGCTGATCTGACATTCCTATTACTCTGCTAATGATGTTCTTCCTTTTAAATTTACATGATTTTTTCGAAAGATATTTTTGTGGAGGTGTCCATAAAATGTAATTAACCATTTATCAAGGTTTTCATTGTTTGGTTTTGTTAAGTAATTACTTTTTGGAGAAAAACGAAATATACCGTCGATTTAATGTAGAAGAAGAGTCAAGTTTTAACATACCTACTGCTAAAGTACCTAATTTCTAGTTATAGAAATTGGCTAAAATGTTATTTGTATCAATAGGTAGTTAAAACTAAGTTGAAGACATTTTTTTTATTTTAACAATTATCTTTTTATATACTCGTATATTTGCATATATTTTATTGTATAAAAATGTAACAGCTATAGGATTGTGTATTAACAAAAAAAGGCATGTTATGTCTATACTATACTTTTTTTTGTTTTTTTTTTACAATATTTTTATTTAATAGTTTTATCTCTTATAGATATTAATAATAATGTTGTTGTTTACTCCTTAGATATGAGTATAGAAGTAATACAACTTTATTTTAGAAATGGTTACTATATGATACTGTTATTTGATTTAGTTTTTTTTTATCTAACTCCGTATAATGATGGATTATAATATTGGTGAAAAACTTAATATGCCATAAAACTTCTTTTTTATTCTTCAAAATCGTTTTATGTGAGGCTCTTGAGTCTTAAACAACACTTTACGACTTTCTATCTATCTGTTCAGGTCGTATAGTGTGTAGAAACCTTCATTTTAGATACGATGTTTTAATAGAGAGTCTCGCCACTGCTCGCGATATTGATATTACATATACAATGGCATATGAAAGAATGCTATAATTACACTTTACACATTTCACACTTTACTTTAGTTTTACTTAAATGCCAAAATAAGTGTATTTTATGTACTTATAAAATACTATGTGATTGACGATGTATTTTTTAGACGAGCGTACAGCTTGAATGCACCATAGAAACAGTATAACATATTAGTGTGGAAATGTTGAAAAAAAAATGAATATAATAACGGTTATGTATTTTTTACCAACCTTACCTACTGTACCTTTTGTATTAAGAAAATTACCTAATAAGAAGTGATAGGCGGTGCAAAGATTTTGATTGTAAACTCCATTTTATTACTTTAACAAGTAGATAATTGACAATATTGTGTTTTGCAAATATTGGAGATCTTTTTCTAAATAAATTTAATTTTTTTGAAAGTCTAACTTTAAATTAAAATTTCAAGAATATCAAAATTTTATACAGGGTGCGCCAGAACTCGCGCCCCAGAGAAAAATACCATGTAAAGTAAGATACCAGAAACATGAAAAAAATGTTAAAAAAATTCTATCTATAAAAACTTAGAAGTCATGAGAGTTTAAATTTTGCACTTTAACTCTATTTATTTCTGTTGTAAAAATAATTTTCCAAGTTTTTTTGCTACAGGATATTAGAAGAGGAAACAAAAACAGCAAGTATATTTACTTACCAACAAGCAAGGAAACTCTAATGTTTGTGTATTAAGTATCTACCTACTCTATAATTTATAACATCTGCTCTGAGACAAAATATTACCTCCTAACAAATATTTAGCCATTTTAAATAAAACTGAAACCATCAATGTAAAGTTAAATGATAAGATTAATTAAAAGATAAAATCAAAATTTGCATTTAATAGACACTTGACACGCGACAGATTAAGTAAATACAATTAAAATAATAATTATTATTCGGTTATTGATGTTTATTTTTTATTTAATAAAAATTTAAAGAATTGTGGGTTAAATCTAAAATTTCACTTTAATTAAAAATAAGGCAAACATTGATTCTTCACGTCATATAAAAATTATCTTAATGGAATCTTAAAAATTTTATAATTGTCTACAGTTCTTCGAATTTTTTGAAATAACAAACTAATTTTTTACGCTATCCAAACGTCACCAAATCAATTAAGGTAGAATAGTTGGTCTCTGTAAGTCATCTTTCTCAAAAAACTATTATGTAAGTACTTATTAAAAAAATTAGAACTAAAACTCGCATAATTAACTTCATTACGCAAAATTTGCGCCCTGAAGAAAACTATCAGCCCCTAATTTAAACTAACAAAATCTGAGGTCCCAACTTAATTGTAATCAGCAGACCAAGGAACGATCTACAAGGGCATCACTGAGATCTTCACGGTAGAAAGCCTTCCCTCGGATTACAATGGTCCAGATGGATGTTTGTCAAGTTTCATTCGCACAATGTCCAATAACTAAACGGTTGTTCATTTGCATATGTCTTATTAAAAACAATGCTGAATAAAAAATAGTGTTGATGCCCCACTATTTTACGAGATACTATATAAAGTTCTTTAAAGATTTTGGAGTTCAGTGTGGTTTTGGATTTTGTGGGTTTAGAGATGTATTTAAAAAAAAATGTAAGTGGTCAGGTGATTAGTGCCCATTATGGATTATTTCAGTGATTTTTTAAAATTACATCAAAACTGAATCAGTGGTTTTCCCTCCGGATCTAATTTTAATTTTTGTGTGCAGTGGCCTTCATGGTGCTTTCTTTTGGTACTGACGACTCTAAAGACCGAAGCTGCAGACGATGACTACAATATTTTGCACAGAGACGGATCGTTTGAATTCGGGTATGATAACCCAAATTCTTATCATCATGCTGCTGGTAATCGAAACAACGTGGTTCGAGGGGAATTTGGGGGTAGAAATCCTGGAACGGGAAGGATAGACTCGACTCAATATACTGCAGGGCCCAGGGGTTATAGGCCTAGGGGTAAAAATGTGCACAGGAAATTTGATCTCAACCAAAATGGCCCAAGACCAGTAGGGTCAAGGGATGATCCCTATTTTGACCCCTACGAAGACCCAAGTTATAGTTTTGAATTTAAAACAAGAACTTACAACAGACAGGAAAGTGCCAATAGGGTTGGGGATGTTAATGGGAGATATAATTTTATTGATGATGTTGGGGAAATTCACAATGTTGAGTATATAGCAGGGAAAAATACCGGATTTCATGTCAAAACTCCGTACCCCGATTCCAACCCCCGAGCTTATTATGGCCGTTTGTACTACAGAGGGAGGGGAAAACCTATTCCAAGAGGGAGAACTTCCATACAAAGAGGTCTAGATGGGAGCTACAGGTACTTATTTTTTCTGAAAATACCAAAAATATATTTTTTTCAGATTTGTTTCAGCTGGACCTGATCAAAGAAGAACAGAAACAAGTGATTCCTCAGGTCATGTTCGTGGTTCGTACACTTATCTCGATGATAAAGGGGTTCAACACTCTGTACATTACATTGCCGGTCCTGAAACCGGTTACAGGGTCCTTAAAAATGTCAAAGGACCTCATCTACCAACAATTTATCCATTTGGTCGACCTGAAATCATCCCTCCTGACTTTTACGACTACATCAAAGACGACGTTTTTGACACTGCAGCTAGCGGTCCTATCAACAACATTGGGGGTGGTTCCAGGCCAAATAAAGAAAAACCACCTTCTGGGGGTAGCGGCGATTTTGGGGGCGATTTGGGTAAACCGGGAGAAGACAAGGGACCTTCAAGCGAAAGCAGTGAAAATAATGGTGACTCTTTCGGGGCACCAAGTTCGGAAAGACCAGCAACAGGGGGAGGTTTAAGACCTCCAGTCGGAGGTACTCGGCCACCAAGACCCCCAGTTGGGGGAGATTATGACGATGGTAGTGGAGGAGATGACGATTTCGAAGGTGAATTATTTGGCCCTTCTGCTGGTGCGTCTAAACCTAAACCGTCACGACCTACAAAACCATCAAGGCCTTTTGGTGGTACCAGTGGAGGAGGTGCTAGACCTCCTTTCGGTGGTGCAAGTGGAGGTGAAAGTGTTAGACCTCCTCCAAGACCTGACGATGGTTCCTACAAGCCCGAATTTGGCGACACTGGTGATGATGGTACTTACATACCACCAGGAGATGTGAATCAGGATGATGGGAGTTACAAACCTGGTTTAGATGAGTCCGAGGCTCCTCGACCGGGACTTGGAGGAGGAGGAGGAGGGTCTTCCAGTCCGCCAACTCGACCTCCCGGTGGAGATTCCTACGATTATGACGATTCCAATGGTCTGTTTGGTAGCGAGTCCAACTCGCGACCGCCTCTTGGGGGTGGAGGAAGGCCTCCAGTCATACAAATTCAAGGTGGTACTAATGAAGGGCCATGCGAGCGGTGTCAGGGTACCATCGTGACAAATGTTGGAGATAAGCTTTTTTCGGTACCTCCGGGAGTTTCTGTGAGGGCTCATGTTCAGTCAATCGATCTGTTACCATTGGTGTCTAAGGTTCCTTCTCCCAGTGAGCAATACAATGAAGAAATGAGTATAAAAACTGACCAATTGAATTCAGCTGCTAGTGATTTGGTTAGTAGTAACAGTACTGTAACTGTTACAGAAAGTAGTAAATTAACAACGACGGTAACGGCGACTGTACCGACAACTACAGTCGCAGGTACTGAAGCAACAACTATTAACGAATAATTTATTTAAATAATTATATTTTTGTAATATATTGTATAAGTATCTGATTACTAATAAAGTTATTTTTTAAATTAATTAAATTGAAAATGAGTTTTATTGTGAGAACTTTTTAACAGTGTGTGTTTAACTTTTTATGTAAGGTCAACGTTGTTTAAACAATTATTTTTATCTAAATAATTTCATGACACACTTTCGTGTTTGCTTATCTTTTATTAACATATCATAGTAAATCTTTTTATTAAAAAAAAAACATGTTTTATTAAATACCCTTAAAACCAATTACGTAAATTTTGCAAATAACTCCCGAAGAAAATTTAATACCTACACCTTGACCTTGCCAGTAGTTAATGTATTTGTTCCCCAATTAAATATCAAATTTTAGAAGTATAAAGAAACACAATAGGTAGGTAGGTAATTAACTTAACATTTTTAGACTTGACCTTTTATTTACAAAATAGAAATAATCACTTAATAACAATTTTACAAAATTATTTTTATTGACATCGTTTAGCGTGGGTAAAAACAAAAGGAGATAATATATTAATTAGGGAGATGAGAACAACATAAATGCTTACGATTTGTTTATTGCTTTTATAATCAGATAAATTTTACATTAATTACGACCGCAGCCAATAAGGCATTAAATTATGGAAATTATCATCAGATTTGGTGTATTTTTGAAAGATCAAGGAAAACAAACCAATGAAGTTGCAAAATGCAATTCTGCTCATTTTACATATTGTAATAAAAATTTAAAAAACAAAAATTATAAATAGTATTGTGCATATCTACTAAACTTTAACTTACGATCAAAAATTCTAAAAAAAATAGGTAGTCGCACTTCGCACATTTTTTCTCGGTTTTTCTAGAAATCTATACCAAAACCTTGGAACCTTGGAATTACAGCATACACATTTATTTATTTCTTTTATAAATTTTAATTTAGGATCAGTGTTTTTAGAACAAAGTAATTTAGTGACTGATTTATAAAACTATTTGAATTTTCAACAAAATTTTTGTTTTCCCGATTGAAAATATTGATGATATGCGAGTTTGCATATCTTATACGAATGTAAAACCGTTTTGCCGCATTTCACTAATATCAGTAATTTAATTTAATAATAGTCGGTAGGTATATCGATCATAGGGTGCGAAATTAAATTGAATAAAAGTATATAAAAAACTAATTCCTGGTGTGAACATTTTTGTCAATTGACAAATAATTAATTTTGCTTTGTTTCTTTTAATTTCGATGACTAAAGACAAAAAGATAATTAGATGGTGACACCACAATTATAGTTTTAATGAGTTGGAACAAACAAACAATATCGTACATAATTTATTAAAAAATACTCGTATTATTCCTTTCATTTTGAGAGTTTTGCATTTTTAGTATTTTTACGTAATTAATTTCTCAAGAACTACTTATTCAACCGTTCCGTAAATGGCACGTCTTGTAAGGTGATCGCCAGTTGCTAAATGTACCACCGAAAGAGTCACTTGTGTACAGGCCACGCTTAAAAGAAAGCTGTTCAAAAGAGTTTTCAAACGAAAAAAATTAAATTAAATTTTTAACAAAAACAGTAAACAAATTGGTTTCATTACAATTGGATGTTGATCTTGAATTAAATCAGTATCTCACACTCACAATTATCTCATTTGAAATACGAGTATACATATGTTCAAATTGTAAGGTAGGTTATCTACAATACGCCAAAAATAAATTTAAAAATACTTCGGTACAGTTTTTTTTATAAAAAAATTAAATGGCCAAATACATATAGAAAAAAATTTTAATTTATTTTTAAACCACACATACGAGTAAGTACAAAAAAAGTTTAAAATAATTTACAGTGAGCGGCAAATTTATGGAATAATCTTATTAAAACTGAAAATATTTTGTTGTGGCAAAAATGCTCTAACCTGGCCATTTTCTTTTTAAAAAATACACAATTTTCAACTTGATGTAAAATTTTCCACTTTTTAATTTTTGAGTAATGCCCTAAAGTTCATGAAAAAAAATTATATAAAAAGTGATGTTATATCAACAAAAAACAAATACAATTCTAAATCAAATTGAGGATTTTGTACTTATTTAAAAAAAAAAAAATTGACCTGTTTGCGCGTCAAAACAAAATATTATCAGTTTTAATAAATAAGATTATTTCATAATTTTGCCGCTCCCTGTACATACCTATATTGTTGCTAAGAATATCACAAAGTTGATAATTTTTTCATAATTTTTGAACGATGATTAATTATTTATTTTAGTATAGTTTAACTTTAAATACTTCTTTAAAAAAAACAAAATCAAGTAAATAAATTTGAAACAGCATACTTACAGACCGATTTTGCAATTTATTTAACCCTAGGATGCATGACTTCTTGTGACTATCCTTATCCAACCAACAGATTTACAAACCATGGGAGAAGAGCATTTTGACGTTATTTTGACCACCGAGATTTAAATTATTGACTTGTATTATTCTTAAAATAATGATTGTTTATTTAAACAAACGCTTTATTAAAATTTTTTACTTGTATATCTATACAGAGTGTTTTTTACAAATAGGTTTGCTACTTGTACACCATTTTTTTTGTTGGGCCTTTTTTTCGTTGTTAATTTTTTACTGGTATGTTGCTTGTTGGTCTGTTTGTGCATTTAAATATCTTTTAAAATTGACTTAAAAATCACATACAGTTTGAATAGGTTTAAACACCTGGGTTATGTGTAATTAAATACAAGAAATTTTTTTATTCTCTAAATTTCAATGTTTATGAAATATAACTTCAACTATTATGTTAAAAACATTATAAAGAAGGCATATCTATAATCTTATAAAAATATCAGCAAAAATAAAAGAAAAACAATCAGTCGGGTACAAAATACCCATGTTATGCATCCTAGGATTTCTAAATTTCTAATAAAGAGTGTTATAGGTAAGAAATAACTCTAAATTGGTAAACAAGAGTAGTTTTTTTAGGTGTTATAACTGCTAATAATTTTATTATTTAAAAACTATTTTAATTTTTAAGTTATGATTTCTTGTCAATTTATTTGTAAACGTGAGTTTTCAAGTTGGATTTATTTGCGTAGGTACTCAAAAATCAAACTTGTATTACTGGTCGTCTATACTTTAAGTTTTTTATTTACAGATTTTTACTGCTTCTTCAAACTTCTTTGACTAGATTTTGATTATCCAACATCGTAAATTGGTTTTAAGTTTTGACCAAAAATCCTTATTTAAATACTAACTTTATTTTGGCAAAAATTAAACACGTATAATCTTCAAACACTTTTTATTTATCACCAATTATTGTACCACATCCATCGGCGCTAATTCTAAACCCCAATTCCCAAAATCCATTTTTCTTCTAACCAATCTACTCCTTAAATAGTCGCAATCAAATTGTAGGGATAATTAATCCCGTATGGGTACGGAATGGCATACTGATGGGCAGGAAGGTAGGAATACGCTGGAAGAACTGCCACAGGCGTTGAATAACCCATCCCTGCAACCTGTGGTTGCAAAGGCTTTATTTCGTGATCTTTAACAGGAATGTGCTCCTGTTTGACCAAATTATTATTCCCTGGCGCGGTTTTAATCACAGGAATTTCATAATGTGGCAGCGGGTCGATTGCAATCCCTCGATTCTCGTTGATGGAATAAGAGTAATCTTGACCGGAATGTTTCACATTTACCGACGAAGAGTCTATTGGCACCACTGCAGAGTGGACTAAAGCAAAAAGCGATAACAATAGTGCGAAAAGCGGGACCTGAAAAAACGCCGGTGAAATGCACGAAAGGGAAGAGAAGTACTCACCATTTTTTGAGTTGCTCAAGTCTTTTGTCTCTCGTTGTTGGTGGCTAACTGATCGGTTTGGAAAAGAAGGGACTTTTATATAGGGGGTATTATAAAAATGCTGTCATCTCTAAATGGATATCAAAATCAGCGATTTTCAAGTTTTATGAAGGCTGTACCAGACGGAACGCATTTTTACCAAGTCTAGCCAATAGCCCCTGTTCTTCGCTGGAACAAAAACAAAGTGACTCGACGTAATGAGCTCAAGATCTTGCTTTGCACCACGGTTGAGCTTGCCTTACCAATATCCGGCCTCAAACATAAAATTAAAAAATAATAGAATGAAGATGCAAAAAACCGAATTATCAGGAACAGCAAAATGTTAATTTATTTTACTCTTAATAACTGTTACAGGAATCGTAAAAATTCAATTACAAAATTGTAAATGTTAAACTTATTCGTTTACGTTGCCAAAATCGTAGAATTTTATTTAATAATTTTATCTAAAGTTTGGGTTAGAATTTTGCACTTTGGTGCAAAATACACACAAAACTGGTTGTATTTTTATTTAAAAGTCTAGTCCACAACCAGACTATGCAATTCACGATACACTTTGAAGGCTGAAACAAATTTATAGTTACATTATGCACGGTTATTTTTCTGAAATTCTTGAAATTTACATGTCTTCTGATTTTTTTCTTTCTTTGTATTCACAACCAGTCAACCACAAATGTGATCGTAACATTTTGTATAACACTCTTGCCTCATTTTGACTATATATAACACAACGTGAGGCGACTAAATCCAAACTGAATTTGGTATTCCCTGTGTTTGTTAAATTTGAATTTAATGTGGTTAATAATGCAACACAACCGCTGTTGAATTTTGAATGTTTCCTTCTAAGTTTGTAAAAATCGCCTTTTGATGCAAATCTAGAATTTTTCGGGCATTTAGGTCATCTAATTACAGTTATTCGTAAAACCCAGGTCCATTTTTGGGTCTAATTTAACGCAGGTACTAACAGGTCGAGCGAGTTGCACGTAAATAGTACGAATGCATTGCTGTTTACCTTCCATCCTCCCATCGAAAAACCTTGACATTGCAGGAGATTGGTCAATGAACTCGATCTTGACTTCCAGCAGGAATCTTCCACACCATTTGCAAAAAAGTGTGGACTAGAGCAAAACGCAGGTGGAAGTGTGGGATGGCCAATATTTACTCATTTTTTCAACCAATAAATCAGTAGTGAAAAAATATAAATCAAAAATTTACTGTTTGGTTTTCACTCACTCGTATTTTATTGTTTACTATTATAAATATAACGGCTCTTGACGGTTCCTTGGAGGCAAGATGTCAAGAACTGGACCATAATTTTAGACAAGTTTTTTGCACTTGAAAAGATTTTTTCCAAGACGTAATGTGACTAATGATTACAGTTACTGATGATCTTTTAATGTTACCACTTAAGTATGAATTTACAGTTGTCAGTTCTTGTTCTTCACACGGATTATCAAAAATCGACAAATGAACTAAAGTTAATTACGATTCAAGACCAATTAAAAAGTATGTATCATCAAACATGACAGGTGTTTAGTTCAGAACCTGGATTGTGAATGTTTTCCGATAAAACAAATCGAAAAAGTGCAAATTATATTTTTTTTAATTTAAAAAGTGTAAAAAATATTTAGGAAAACAGAAACCTTGTGGTTAAAAAAAAAGACCAGAATTGTCTCTCGGAAAAATGTGTTATCAGTGACGTCTGAAGAAGATACCTTTATGTCAAATAACGTTACCTGCCCCTTCTTTCAAGAAGAGAAGTAACTTTTGATATCGTCTCTTCTTTTCAATAACTGCTCAACATATACGTGCTCTCTATATTATCTTCCGTTAGTTTTAAAAAGCCTGCATCGAAATATTGTGAAGACAGTTCGACAAATGACTTAGTGCGATAACCAATTTTCGAAATGACTAATTGGATTTTTCTCGTAAGTATTCTTTTTAAAATTTTATATTAAATTTTAAAAATTTTTGTTATTGCTATTTCACCCTCATTTAATTTTTTTTTCATCAAAAGCTAACTTCATTATTTTACAAAGTTTTGCGTCAAAACGGTAATATCTTTCATAATTTAATTCGCACATTTCAATTATGCATAAATTACCGTGACAGTTATAGGTTCTTACATTGACATTGCTTTGCGATTAATGAACTTTTCGATTTACCACTTACCATAAATATCCCATCAGTTCATCCAAAACCACATGGTAACATAACATGTGTTGTATTATAATTAAACCTCAGTTATCTAATGCAGGAGTGCCTTAAACCGTTAGATACAAGTACTTTTTAGGAAGTTTTGCATTTGCTTACATTTTGATGAAATTTTTGTGTCGCAACACAATGTCTCAATTAATAAAAATATTTTTTGTTTTAAAATAAAATGTTGCTTGTTTTAGTTATCAACATTGGCTGTGGTTAATTGTAGACCCCAAAATACCCAAGAAACATCAGCAGTAGAGTAAGTTTTTTCATTATTACGCTTATTAATTGCACACATGTATCAAACCTAATCACTAATTTTGTGACTGACAATCTCTAATTTTATGTTAATTTATGTGTTCTATGTAGCGGTAGTAGCGTTTGAATACTAGTATTTTGTCTTTTCGGAATCTTCAACAAGTAGTGTGGTGTAGTTTTAGAAGATTGGATACCAGTTTTTGGGCTCTTTGCTATCCTTTGGGGTAAGTTACTAATACCTATAATTTTATTATTAACAAAACTTTTACTATTAACATTTTTTGACAATCATAATTAATTACAATATTTTTAGGATTGAAAAACAACATGTGATTGAAATCACTCCACGACAACTATTCGAAACAAACGATCAAACTCAGAAGGAACTTGAAGACAGTACTAAAGAAATCCTAGAAAAAATAGCACTAGTCAATGAAAAACAGGGATTAAATAAGAAAAAACCCAGACCACACTATCAACATTTTCCATTTAGTTATTTAAGATCTCAGGATTCCAGACAAAGGGCAGATTTCAAATTCCCGAGGGATCCATTTACTAATCCCATCTTGGATTACATTGAAAGGAAACAAGAGGAATCAGAGTCAAGCCAAAGGACTCCTGTTACCACACAATTAAATGTTTTGGAAGACGAAAATGAAGTACCAACTGGTCAATACATCAAAAGAAAGGTGATTCACCAACAAACAATGATAGTACCAGGACCTAGTTTTACGTCTGGAGGTTTTAACCCACCACCGCCACCACAGGCAAGCATACCGCAAAGTTTTTACACCATGAGTCAAAGTCCAAGTCCTGCGACTAAACCTGAAGGTTTTGAAATGAAGAAAAGTGAATTGGAGAAGCAGACTATTAATAATATTAAAAATATAGTTGAAAATTCACAATATACGACCCCGATGGTTTACAATCCATATTTACAACAATATAATCCATATTTTTACCAACAAATTCAACCAAGGCAATCACAATGGCCACCGCAATGGCCATTTGCCCAGTATTTTCCAATTATTATAAAGGATCCCCTAACGCACATGTTCAATGCTATGACAACAATGATTGAATATGGCCCCCAAGCCGGACAAGGCAATAAGTGTAAACATTTGGAAGTGGATAGAAATAAGGAAAAAAAAGCAAGGGAAATATCTATGAAACCCAAAATGAGTTACAATGTCGTTGATAACGGAAAAGGGACTGAAATAATTGTCTCAAATGAAGATGATTCAAATTTGACCACGGTTCTAGAAATTGAAGACTTGCAAATTACGGATAACAGAGAAGATGCAATAAAACGAAATTTGAATTTTCGAGAATCGAAACAAAATCAAGAAATCATGAAAACGTTTTTCTACAACACGACTCGATCTCCCACGGACCCTCTGAGCAGCCCTTTGATCCAAACTTTGCAAATTACAAAAAGTGAAGTAAATTCAAATGACACTTCCCGACAATCGCCCCCAATCAGAGACCAGGAACTCGGCGAAGATGAACTCGAACTCGATGAGTTGGAAAAAGCCGAAGACGTGCAAGTGTCACACGACGGAAACAAGAAACTCTTCAGTAAGGATAACACCGGAAGTGGGATTTTTGTCCATAAAATCAAAGTCCGGAAAGGTGGAGTTGCCATTGCTGGACCTGGAGGTATCGCAACTGCCGGAAGTGGTGGTACTGCCATCGTTGGACCTAATGGTTTTGCTTACACTCACCCTGATAGTCTTGCAATTGCGGGGTCGGGGACCAAAGTGGTGGCTGTGGAACCTACTATTAATCTAGCGACGGTTGTTAATGACCATAAAAACAAGACAAGGGGGCAAGGCCATGCTGCTCCTTCAAGGTTGGGCAAAGTTGTGGCGGTGGGACCTGTTATTTACTACAACAAAGGGTGATAGTTTTGATAATTGTACATAGGCAACACATTATACATTAGGTTTTGATTGTGCCAATTGATTGTTATTTATTGTTTTGGTTTAAGGGTGATTTTAGTACAATAAATTAAACTTGTAGACTGACAATAACTTGTTTAATTTTGTTATTTTGTGGTGCCAATAAAATAAACTATTTTTTATATAAAATAAAAATGTTTTATTTTTATTAGTCGCTTGCATACGAATTCATTAATACTAATCTTCCTTTTCTTCTTCAGATTCATAATATTCCCTAATGGACTTCGTTATCCACGATGGCCTTCACATACCTTACCAAGGATTTATCCCAATTATGCATTCCAAAGCCAAACAATCATCCCTCCAAACAATGAAAATTTTCTTCAAACTAACAATCCAAAAAGTGAATTTGTCAAAGTGTCACCAAAAGAAGAAATTCGGGTAAATGCATTATCCAAAGAAGAAAATGCAAATAGTACTGGTGCTATAGCACCATATAAAGCTCATCCCTTGTTTCACTATTTAAAAAATCGCAACACTATTAATAGTGATAGGATAATCAGTTTTCGTAGCGATTTGACCAATCCTGAAAAAATTACAACTCTGATTTTAAAACCTATGGCTAAAGCCGTTGCCGGGATTGAAGGGCAAGCAATCGCTAATCCTTTATCTAGGGCTATTTTGAGACAAGGGATGAACGTTGATATTTTATTTGAACCTGACGCTGTCGCCATTGCAGGCCCCGGGGGTGTAGCTCACGCCCAAAGTGATTTAGAAATTAGTTACGAAGATTTCCCAGATACCAAATAAATCTAGTTCCTTTTTATAAATATTGAATGTACATAGTTGTAAATAAAATTCACTTTCATCATGTTTTAACGTGTCATTTTTAATTATTAATAATTATCCCACACTCCCACTTAATCAATTGTTAGAAGTATTAAACTCTTATTTCCATTACTACCTACTTACATATTTTGATCACGCAAAAAATTACATAATATATATTGGAAAGGATTTTATTTAGCACGATTCGCCGGAAAACCAGCGTCCTTTAGTCTAGCCAGACACTTCAAGAACAATTAAATTTCGAGTGTTTTATTTTACAATTCAATAAGCATAACGTTGTTACCCAGTTAACGTCATTCATCCAGCGATGAATACGTTATATGATATTTCTTAATCAAACTGAATCTGATTACTTTTTAGCACATGGGAGGAACAGAAACCGAAAATAACATTAATACCGTACTATGGCGGTGCATTAGGTCAGTCACTGCAAATAATTGAAATGCCTGATGGTTCAATCTTGACAAGCATTATCAAAACTCCACCCAAAAAAACGGCAGCTGAAGAAGTCGAAGTTGCAGAATTAGAAAATCCTCCTTTACCCTCGAAACAAGACATTGATTTTGGCTCCAATTTGCGTAACATCCACCAAACAGCAATCAACATAATCAAGTTGCAAGAAATCGCAAAGAAAAATGGTCAATTGAGCGCTGATCAAGAGTCAATTTACCAAAAAAACATGGAAGAACTTAATTCCTCGGCTAGAAATTTGGCCGAACTTCAGGAACAACAAGATGATGGCTTCAGTTTCGAGAATCGTGAGGGTTTAACTGAATGGTTTGAACGCAAAAAATCCAATAAGAAAGATAAAGACAAGAAAAAGAAGGAAGAAGAAGAGAAAAAGAAGGAAGAGGAAGAGAAACGAAAAGCCGAAGAGGAAGACCGCAAACGCAAAGAAGAAGAGAAAAAAGAGGAGGAGGAGGAAGAGGAGATCGAAGAAAATGAAGAAACTGACGCAATTTCGGTCGGTTTGCCTCCACCTGACGCGTCCGTGGCTGAGGCAAAACCCGTGGGACTCGCCGTTGCCGGTAAATAACCCAATGGGTAAAACCATGACTCAGTGATTTGTAGGTGAGGGAGGGGTTGCTGCGAGTAAACCCATCGCAACTGCCGTTGTGGGTCCTGGAGGGTTGGCTATAGCCCGTCCTGTGGGTACTGCGATTGCAGGAGTGGCCCCCGATCAAGCCCTAGTTCCTATCTATGCCGAAGGCTACGTCGGTGGTACCAAACCCAAGAGATATGGTACCAACAATAAAGCAGACGCTGCTAGCGAGTTTCTTAATAAAATTATAAACAAATATCATCAAGTCTAATAAAGTATTTTGTATTGTTGTGTGTTTATTCTCGAAAGGTCCGAATGACCTGATACTGAACTTGAACCGGTATCGAGACTATTAAATTCAAGTTTTGGTTTTAATGGGACCAGTTATAAATAAGTCTGGGTTTCTGGATTAACCTACCTCACTGGGTGTTAGAAATAACTGTAAAATACGGTAATTATGAGATTTGAAAAGTTGCAATGAATGTTTTGCTGTCATTACTTTACTTTCTCTGTAACTAATATATGAAATGCCAAGTTCTAGATTATTTTTTGTGAATTAACACTAATGCGAACTTTTTATTCGGCACGTGTAAAAATTTACTTCCAGTGCAAGAAAATGTGAAAAAGCATTTCCCACATGCAGTGACCCTGGTGCACTCTGAATAGTAAGAGACAATTTCATCGATTAACATGCAATCGATTGGTGCAATATCGATGCCTTTCAAACTAATTTTAGTGACGAAATCGTGTTACTAAATTGGAGTTAATCAAATTTTACAGGTTGAGTCCGACAACACAAAATAAAAAACACAACTTAATAAAATGCACAAAACGATTAATTTCCGTGTAGTTCATAGGAGGTTAATCAGCTTCATTAGTATTAAAATATTTGCAAAACGTTCAAAAACTTTTTATTGTAACACACCGATAAATCGTAATTTGCTATAAAAAGCTTGATTACATCAAAAATTACATTTATTTATGTAAACCGTGTACTTGTTGTTTATACAACAAACTCCTTGTTTGTTTTCCCATTTTCATTAAAATTTTGACATTCAATTTTGTCGCAGCCACAGTTTTGAAAATCAATTTAGATCTAGGTTGACAATTAGATTAAATTTGAATTAAACTGCAACTAGTTTGATGAATGTTATCGCTTTCTCTCGGATGTAGGTATTTTTATCGGAAGAAGCATATTTCTTCACGTTTCTTGCAAGAAATGTTGAAAACGCGTTTTGTGTAAAAAACCGATGGCAATGGCCCACGAACCAAAACAACAGTAAAGCAATTTAAGCAGTGGTTACATTTGAGGAATATTAAATCTGATTGAAGTTTATTGTTATGCTGGATGAGTAATGGCAAGGTCAATGCTCAATAAGTGCGATAATAAGTTGCAAATTACTCTCAAAAAATAAATAAAAAGGTATGAATACCAATATGTTCGATTTTGTGCAAGTCACGGTGTCGCTCGACAAGATTAAGACTAATTGAAATTTGTAATCTGCAATGTCACAAAGCCCAACAATGGACTAAGCTCTACTCATTGCATAATTTCTTTGAAATCGACCACAAGTAGTGGATTTACGCTTGATCTCATTTTCGCTTACAAGATTATAAATCGGAATATTAAATCTCGTGCCAGCCCACAATTTTATACAGAATTGCGATGAGTCAAAGAGTCGCTCCCCAAATACCAATGGGCTTGTCATATTCAAAAAACACAGACACAACAGAATGATACTTAACTTTTCCATAAACGGCTTACAGGTGGTTGTGATTGTTTATTAGGAAAAAAAACATTAAAATTGACGTCTCTAATAAGAGAAATGAGAGAAATTGAATCGTAATGCATTTCTTATATTCTGTTCTAACGACAATGTTACTCTTGTTTGTGGCCTAAATATGTTCTCTCAGAAGTTATTTAAAATGACAATGACCACATTTAACACTTTCTTCTCGTTGTATTGTTCGTGCAACGGTGATAAGGTAGTAAGTTATAATTTAGCAATTCAATGCCAAAACTCAATTTAAATTGATTTCCCACTTTTGCGCTTTGACTTTCGTTTGTCATGCTCTATTTTTTATTCATATTTGCAATAATTGGGATTTTCCGGACGCAAATTAAACCACATGTATACATTACTCACAATTTTCTTACGCTCACATTTCCAGATACTTAAGATTATATTTCAACAAATAATGAGAGTTTGATTTAATAACTTGCACAAGCACGAAAAACAACGACTTAACATGTTCCATATTTTAAAATTTAATATAATTAAACATAGCAATTATAAATTAATAAGAAAAAAAGAAGAAGACAAAGATGAATTTCAATATCAATTTTATTACTGCGACTAAGGTTTCTAGTTCCATAAAATTTTGGAAAACGTCTTCTTTATTTTCTTTTCCAAATTATTTTTTTGTTAATTATTAACTATAGGAATTAATTTAAAAAAAAACAATTAGTTAAATAAAGTGAAATTCAGAGTTCGTCTCTTGACAGTTAAGACAAGTAAAAAATCGACAACATTTTAGAACTTGTTATATTATTTTTTACACTAAAATCAATAAACACCAAGTGAAACAGTAGCAAACTGTGGTTTTACAGACTGAGAGAAAATTAAACACATTAATATTAACCTGTTTACACATCGTAAAGAGAACTACTCAAACAGAATCATTACATTTGTTTTTTTAGCGTTTGATATTCACTCCAAATAAAGTCCAAAATTTTAACAAAGTTAATTTTCTCTTGGTTTCTTTGATTAGTCATTTGAATAAATTTCACGAAACACATTTACTTAATTTAATTTTAATAATATAAAGCATGAAATTCGCGGGAAATTAAGTGGTGTTCCCATTTTTTTGTGGTTTCATGCCACGTTGAGAATTCTAAGTCATATAAACTTTTCCACAAAGTGCACATGATTTATTTTATTGTATTTTACATGATCTTCTTTGTTTCGAGTCAAATAAAAATGAAAAACATTTTACTCACTTTTATAAATATTTATAAAATAATGAAACTTCACCATAGTCCCATCAACAGAGACCGCCGTCAATAAAAATAAACCAACCCAAGTGCCACATTTGCATTGCAGTTTTTATAGCTATAAAAATATTTCTCCAATTAACTTTTATTGCCATTTTCAGTCCGACCAAGTAATAAATTAGCAATTGATCATTTTACTGTTATAAACCACAATAGTCAACAAAAGAAAGCGGACCTTTTGTTTATTTATACCGAAAGTAAAATCTTGACAGTGAACCTCGCCGAATTCGCACATGACTGGAATACCAAGAAAAAATTTTGAAAGAGAATGAAAACAAACTTATTTCATAAATTTATAAAATAAAAATCGTGAAGTGCATTAAAGATGTTTGCAAATAGTCAGAAGGTACGATGTTGAAGACACTTGGCATTGATGACTCCTCCCCTCCTTCAGGCATGTATAAGAGAGGTCGTTGGTCCTCTGGAGGAGTTATTGCTTATCTATACTCTTGTGCACCAAGGTGTTGGAACACTTAGCCGGTAAGTACCTTTTCGATTTACTTTTTTTAAAACTCGTCTGCAATCAGAGAGAAAAATAGGAACGAAAAATGAGTTACGTACACAAGTAATGACCCAAAATTTTGAGTAATTATTTTTTTGAAAAATTGGTTTTCTCTTGTAATTAACAGAAACGCATTCATCTTTGATTTACTGTTGCATAAGACTTCATTGATTTAATTTAATGACATCCTGTGTGTAATCCTCAAATTATTTCCTTATAACGGTTTCTACTTGTCCTGAATTTTATCAATTCAATTAATATTAATTATTATTGTAATCCCCAATTCCATTAAAAAATAACTTCTGCGGCACGATTTGAGGCTACTGACCAATAAAAAAAAATAATACTGTGCTAAATTTAGCCATCACTGTGTGTCTAATCGTCTAATACTCCTGTTTTTTGCAGACAAGATGTTTTTCCTTATAGTCTTGGTACTAGCTGCGGTTTGCACTACCCATAGCATGCCTCAGCGCGAAACTCCACAAATCTCATCCCGGATTGGTGAATCCAAGCAACTTCTTTACGTTCCTGAGAGACAGCAATATACTCCTGAGTTGCAGTACGACCTGTCGCTTTTAGACCCTCAGTTCCACGTTTCTTCATACAATTTTATCGGAGATAAACAACATTTCCCGAGGTATGTTTTTAAGTTGCGTGTGGGTAGATTGGATTAGTTTTTAATCATGGGTTACAACAGTAAAGAATTTTCAAGAATAGGTGATAGTATATCACTAGCCATTCACGTTTTATTTATTTATTTGTAAATCGGTTAACTTCGTTGCAGAACAATGATTACAAATGTTCAAAAACTAAAGCTCAAGGGCTTGAGTCCTTGAGTTGAAAAAAATATTATTTTTGAAAAATTGAAGCATAAAGAACTGTATGAAAATGAAAGTGACATATTTTATAACAACAGGAAGTTCTTTGGTTATTGTTAATTTTTAAAAATTGTGATACAAAGTAGATAATGTGCCATCTTTGTATTTGCTTTCACAAAACTTTTTATTTCGATTCTAAAAGCTTTTGACTCTAGATCTGGAAACATTTCTTCGAATGCATCAACTGAACGTAATTTTTTCGTTTCTTTAATTTCCAAGATACATACTTGATTTTAAAATACATTTACATCATGAAATTCAATAGGACTTGAAAAAATATACTTCATCAATATTTCCTGATCCGGATCCGGGTTTTATTACCTTTCTCTTGTAATTTTATATTGACGGTGTTAATTGTTGTTAATAAAAAACTTTAGACTTAATAATAGAAATAAATGGGATGCTTGACAATTGATTATATGAATGGAGGAAATGTTTACTATTTTTTAAATTAAGATACAAAAGTACTTACATTTACTTCCTTTTTTCAAAACTTTCAAGAATCAAAATAAAACCACTTCACAAATCTTAAAATAAATTATTTCATCTAAAGTCTCATCAAACAAGAAGATTTATTCGAGAATTAATTCAAAAATAAATAATCTATAATCTAATTTGTTGCTGATTTTAGATTTTACTTCTACTACTTTTAAACTGGCAAAATTTACTTTACGTTTAAATTGAGATTTAGACCTTCTGTAAAACGTAATCAAATATTTTTTTATTATACCTTATTTTATTTTGTTTAAACAATTCTACAATTTAAATAAATTTATTGTGTAGAATATAGTAACATTGGTCACTATTATTTTTTTCTTTTTGCTCTATCGTTTACTTAATGTGTTCATTAAAATAAAGTAGTAGTTACGAGTACATACATTTTGTCCTTACATAAAAATATGAACAGGTGATTGAATCTACTTATTTACAATAAAAAAAAAATCATTTTAATTATCTAGTCACAAAACTAGAAATCAAAGTTTTATACGCATTTCACTTTTTAATTATATTTAATTACCAAATTTTAGTTAATATTGTTCGTAGTTTGTAATAATTAAAGATTTTATACAAAGTTTTGTTATTAGTTACCTACTATTACTATACAATAAACCACGATACAATTTTGAATGTTCTATTGTTATGTTATACATAACAAGAATGAAAATTGTATTAATTGTTATAATTTAATTGCAACTTTTACATAACACACAAAATGGAAACATATAAATATAGTTACAGTCGCTAGCTATATTGTGTTGTTTTTTATTAAAATGATACCTAAAAGTTTAATTATCTAAAGTAAGGAGTTTTACATATTTCATTTTGAGGTTCAATCAAGTTAAATAAAACAATAACTATATGATTAGAAGCCAAGAAGCTAGAAGCTAAGAAATAGGCTAAATTTTCTAAACAAACTAAACGCAAATTGCTTTTTGTTGTTTTTCCCAAAATTTATAAATAAAATATCGATTATCAACTGACAAAAATAATTTTTGTCTAGGGCGCTACTTGGAAGGGCATTCATTATTTTAATATTATTTTTATATTATCTTTTATCTTTTTTCTTTAAACAATCAGAAGTCATTGATTTTATCTTGTCTCATCCACTACTCTATCTTGCTTAATACTGTCAGATTTTCTAATAATTATAACTGTAGTATAACATGTGTAACTTTTTTCAAATTCCCGTAAAGGTGAACCACCTATCAAAGCAAACAAATGTTAAGTAGATAGTGATTTATTATTACAACCAACATTTTCACTCTTACAATGTTGGCAATGTCACAAAACTACACATCTGACAGTAATTATAACCAATTACTAAAACAATTATTTTAATTTTAATTTATTCAGATTTTCCAATTATGACATAAAAGAACTGATTACCGCTACTTGTAATTAATAATAAATTATATATTACCATTGATAAGTTCCATGCACTCATAAAAGAACAATTAAAACTTTATGCTTATACAGACGCATCCTAATTACAATTAATTACGCAAACCATATAAAAAAAGTTGACAAACTTTTCACTCAATGAAATTAATTTGCGACAGCTTTCCATCGAAATTCTCCCAAGATCAGAAAGTTGCCACAATTCGGACTCGAATATAATTTTCCTCAAAACGTTGCATATCTAATAACAGTAATTAATCCCTCGTCCTTAAAATTATGTAAGGGATCTGTATATTATATTCATTGCGAGGTTAAAGAGCAATTATTTTTTTCCAGAGTACAACCACAAATCGTTTTAATTAACGGCGGCGGCGCGAATCCTGGCCAATTCCTCCTCCAACCTGGCTCCCCCCCTGGCAACTTCCTTGTGCCCCAACCCGGCCCCAACGTAATCCTCAGGGACCCTCAAGCGCCCCAAAGACCCGTCTTCGTCGCCGGGTACCCCAAACCGGCCCATATTCCCCCTATTGAGAAGGATGCCGAAGAAGTACCAACCAATCCAGCAAAAATTCCACCACTTACACCCAAAGGTGCGTACAATTGTTTTATTATGCGTCTTTCACAAATAGGTCACTGTCAACAACACAAAAAAGACAAATGGTGTGTATTCATATCGCGTGCTAAGTACAATGACATTGTTTTATGCAATAAAAGTGTTGAGGCGAATTTCACTCACTTCACGATAATTTATTGTTTTGTAAATCGAGAGGCTTAATAAATGTAATAAACTGTTGGGTAGAAAGTTGAAAAGAATTGTGAAAAATCGATTTAATGCTCTACGTATATTAACACTCATTTGGGTGTTTAAATGGTAGGACGCGTTCTGGCGTTCTACTTTTTTTTAGGTTGGTAGCGGTGTCAATGACCGCAAAGTGTCAAAAATTAATGTACTATTTTCGTTTGTTTCAGGAGACAAAAAACCTGAAAAACTAGAAACCTTTGATGAGATTGACAATTCAAAGAAACAAGCAACTGAAGCTGAAGTTCTTGCTGCAGCTGACCGAAATCCGGCCTTCAACACCAGGACGAATTTGCGTCCAGGACAGAGATTTTTCATTCTTAATGGCCAACCTCTCTTCTCCAATTTCCCCTACAACAATCAGATTTATCCCGGGATTAATCCCAACCTGAAATATGCTCAAGTAACTCCCAATTTCGTCCCTCAAACTCCTGCCAAAAATATCTCTCCCTTCCAAAACGTCCTTTTCAGAAACGCTCCAGTCGATAGTACACAAAAACTAGCCAGTAGTGATTTTCACCAATCCTACCCTGAAAATTTAGTCCTCCTCAACCAACCCGGAATTTTCCAGGACGACCTAATTTTCAGGAGTCCTGCTCTTCCTTTGAATCTCCAACAGAAGCCAAAAGACGAGCCCCAACTCCGAGAAAATGAAAACGGTTTTGGACTTTTCCACTTGAAAAACAATGAGGAGCAAGAGGATGATACTGTTATAATTGACGCAAAAGAGCAACAAGACGGAACCGATGGTAATAACAATGAGCAAGACACCGAGGCTGAAGTGGTTTCAGCTGCTGATAAACCAGACAGCGAGCCTACCATTTCCCAAGCTCAACCAGGGGCTATAGCCCTTGCCGGCCCTGGCGGAGTCGCAGCTGCTGCCCCTCGAGGGACCGCGTTTGTAGGGAAGGAAGGAGTTGCCGTTTCGAGTCCTCAAGCTACTGCCGTTGCGGGTCCCAGCAAGGACGCAATCCAGGAAAATAAGAATAAAAAGCAAAACAAGAGAAAGCAATGATTTTTGTGATATTTAGATGATTTCGAATCGCTGAATTAAAATAAAAATGATGGTTTTATTTTTAAACTACATATTTATAAGAATTTGGAAAACGAATGTGGTAATTTTTGTAACTATTACCATGTAATTATAATTAGAAATGTAAAACGTAATGAAATAATTTTTTAATAAATAGGTGTTTTTATTCCTACCCAAATACATTATTCAGGTTTTGGTACTGCACTTATTGTGCAAAAATTATTTTAATAATATAAAATGCAATTCAATTTACTAAAAAAAAATCAAAATTTCAGGAAATAAAAATTATTCCATAAAAGATTTGTAAGAGATAAGTTTTTAATAATTTTCCTCTCAGCCTTTTGAGTAAAAGATTTGAATAAATCATTATCCTAAAAGTGGATAATGAAACATCCATAACTCTAGGGTAGCAAGTTTTCCTGAATGTAGGCCCCGCTAATTAAGTTAAATACAGTCCTGTTTTTTAAACGTCAAATTTGATTAATTTATGCTGTCATTAAAAATTAAACATAACCTCATATTTTAAAATGTCTCTTCGTAACACATCAATTTTAGTGTAAAACGATGATTATTTATGCATATTTAATTGCACCTTTTACTTTTTGTTTCTTATGATAAAAAAATTATTGATAATTTCATAAAGTTACTTCCTTTTACTTATTTACACAAAAAACTACATTCCTAATCAAAATGTACTTAATTCTGTTACACTTAACTGCTGTACTTAGTATTTCTTTCTCTTACGCCTCCGATTGTGGTTGTCACCTCAACAGAAACTCCCAGTGTTCAAACGAAGAACCGCACAACAAATATTCAAAAACCTTCAATGAGGGGGGCGACGGAGAAGTAAAAACATGTACGACTTTTGATAAGAGTGACATGGTTTTAATAGAAGCTGCAAGTTTCGAAATGGGGACTGATAAGCCAGTCTTTGAGAGTGACCATGAAGGGCCTGTTAGAAACGTTTCAGTTGATTCCTTCTACTTGGACAAGTATGAAGTCTCGAATGGGAAATTTAACGAGTTTGTGCAAAAGACAGGCTACAAGACAGAGGCCGAGCAGTTTGGCGATAGCTTTATTTTTGAAATGTTGGTTCCTGAGAGTGAGAGAGAAAAGTATAAGGATTTTAGGGCCGTGCAAGCACCTTGGTGGATCAAAATGAAAGGGGTTACTTGGAACCATCCAGAGGGGGAAGGTTCCACAATCGACGGTAATTATCCTCCTAATTTATTTTCTTGAAATTAGTTTAATTGATAGATCGACTTGATCACCCTGTAATACATGTCTCATGGACTGATGCTAAAAAATATTGCGAGTTTGTTGCTAAAAGACTTCCAACTGAAGCCGAATGGGAAATGGCGTGTAGAGCCGGCTTAAGGCAAAAGTTGTATCCCTGGGGCAACAAACTCAATCCTAAAGGCGAGCACTGGTAAAACGACCCCTCATGAGAAAATATAATACAAGAGTTTGATTTAGGGCCAACATTTGGCAAGGAGATTTCCCGTTAACTAACACAGCAGAGGATGGATACTTGTCCACAGCCCCTGTTGATAGTTTCCCCCCCAACAAATTCGGGCTCCATCACATGGCCGGGAACGTCTGGGAATGGACACAGGACAACTGGTTAAATGACCTTGTATGTTTATACCAAAACTTTATTTACACCAAAAACAAAATATATGATTAAAATAATATTCCAGGACGCGAAAGTGAAGAAAGGGGGTTCCTATCTCTGTCATGAATCTTACTGTTGGAGGTATCGCTGCGCCGCAAGATCTTTCAATACCAAAGACAGTTCAGCCGGAAATTTGGGTTTTCGATGTGCCGGTGATGTCAAATAAAGTCTCCAAGAATTTGGCAGTGAATAACAAATCCAAGTACTTAAATCATCCTGCCTTCGAGTCTTCCAACTTATCATTGTTTTATATGATATTTTAACAATTTTAGAAATATATTATGATTTAAATAACAATCTCTTTGAACTACACCTTAACCTACCATTAAAAAAATATACAATGGAATGTTTGACTTAGAAATTAGAAAAAAGCAACGATTTAGGATTAAAACAACATTTTAAAACTCAATGCAGAGCATACTTGAAATTAGTGTTGCCCTTGACGCTAGTTAAAATGTGCTGCATAACCAAGTGGGAATTCTCTTTGAGCATTTTAGGCACGGGGACAAACTTGTATACTAGATAACCCCCAAAAGTTAACAAAGAGACTCTAAAAGTGAGTCTCACCACTTTGGATGTGAGTGAAGGTGGTGGCACTTGTAAAATTTCAGCAATGAAGGGTTTCTGGTCTTTAGGCCACAATTTCGTTATTCCAGGAACATGACCTATTCCCACCACACCCACAATCTTGATTGGCTCATCACCACCTAATGGAAATTATTAAAATGTGAAAATTTTCAATTTCTTTTTACCTTCTTTGCCTCTGTTTTTCTTACAAGCAGCAGTAGCAGCCGCTTGGAGAGAATGAGTTAAATAAACGTCCCTCTCATTCAGAAAAACATCCCTAAATGCCGGGTATTCACCGGCCAATTCAGTCAATAATTGCTCTAACATATCACGCTTTTTACACTTTTCGATATCTTCAATGCTAGAAAAAAATCATGTATTTCGATAAACTAAATCTGGAATTTAATACCTGACTTTCTCTTTTGAAGTCAATAAATGCCACGCTAGTTTAATAGTCTGGAACCAAGTTAGTTTGGACAAAGCCCTGTGAAGGGTAATTCCCAGGGGGCGATCGCCTAATAGAACCTCACAATTGGGGATTTTTTCAGCCTAAAATAATCAAAATAGTGAACAAGAAACGGCAAATTCACAATTTACCTCGCGATAAGCAACTCTAAACTCGCCCCCGGGAGCCATCCCCAACTCCTTGGTAATATGGGCACTCATGTTCAACAACAAAATGTACATAATTCCATTGTAAAGGCCACTAGTCTTAATATTAGTAACAATTTTCTGGAAATCTATATTTTTGGCTTCTTCTAAGATTGTTTTTTCATCCAAGGACAAAATGTTGGTTCTTGAGGCACACAGTTCCAAAACAACAGCATGTGGGAGAATATTACGAATAACCTAAAGTCAATTTAGAAAAAATCGGAAAAATCTGAATGTTTCTACAAACTTTGATAACATCCTCCTTTGATTCGTTGCTAAAGTGAGCCGTTCCAACGAGATAAACTTTGGCACCTGTTGCTTCATGTTTGAGAAGAGTTACAGTTTCTGGGAGATTATTATCAAAGTCCTCATCAGACTTGCCCCCATTTGAAGACGACTGATCAGTGTCGCCAATACTTAAAATTTCGAGTGTCTCGCTTTTGTCGGAACCATGTTCCGAGTCGGAATTTGCTTTTATGGTGCTATCGGTTAATTCTGCAATTTCTACGTTTGTGAAAAGTGTAAAAGCATAAATTTGTTTTACCGAAATTTGTTAACGAGTTATCCATTGTTAATATTAAAGCTGCAACACGTATATCTACGGGAGAACTAAAACTAAATTGCAAACAACTACAAGAGAAAAACGACTTTTGAAAGTGTCAATTTAATGACAGGTGCATTGACGTTTCTAATTAGGGACTTTCGGTCTATTTGACTATCATGATGACACTGATTTCAAAATTTGAAAAATTAAGTAAATGACGAAATTATACTTTTTTTTTCTTTAAGTGGAAAGTCGAATTTTTTGATTGGTGTTAGTTGCGCAATGCTTCAAAAGCATGTCTAGGATATGATTGGACTGCTGTATATTTTAGGGATTTAGTGCTTTCGGAAGACCAACGCAAAGCTGTCACATGGCAGCTGTCACCAAAATTTCAATGTCAAGCTGACGAACAATTTATTTCTAAAGTTAACAAGACCGGAATAAATTAACATAATAGATTTAAAATAAACTAGAAATATGGTTAGGGGACTGGTAATTATTCATTACGAGTCGTTTGTTAATAGTGTCAATTATTTTATTTAATTCCAGCTCAGTTTTATTGTGGGACTTTATGCAGGCGTTTACCTTAGCCAGAACTATGATGTAAGTTCTTGTATTGCTTTGCAGAACTCTTCAAATTTTTTTGAATTTTCCAGATTCCACGAGTGGACGACCCTCAGGCTTTATTTGAAAAGATCAAAGATTTTGCTGATAAACATAGGAAGCAATAGGTTGCAAACTTTAGTAGCTGTGTGATTTATTTAAATAAAATTATGCTAATACATTATAATAGTGATACACCACCACCCAAATATTCAAGTCTGACGGGAGGCTCGACAAAAGCCAGCCAGTCACTGGAATGTGTGGGTAATAAGCCCATACTCTGACACTTATAAAGAGCTAAACCAATATTAATACAATTCCCAAAGATATAAACAAACATTTGTTTAAAAGCACTAGTATTTTCCAACATTTTGAACGTACTTTTCGTGGCAAATATGGCTTGAACTGGTCTCATCAATAACATCCCGACCATCATAATTGGGAAAATTGAAATTGAATTTCCTGCCATATACATGATGAACAAGTTCATTGGTACTTGTTTTAAGGGGGCTAAAGCCAGATCCCATGATTTTTTTGTTATTAAGCGACTAACGTCCGTTTTTTTCGAAACTTCACTGCTTAATGCTGGTCCAGAGGGGCTAAAGGCTGGAGGTGCTGCCAAGCCTTCTGCTACAATGCGACTTCTGGAACTTTCGGGTAAAACTGGAATTAGAAATGTATATCAAATTGTACCTGGTATTGTCCAAAGTCCACTTCAGTCGCTTATTTTGATGTTTCATAGACATCCTGCTATAATTTTGACACAAGATTAATAATTATTGACACAAGTTAATTAATATTTCAGGTTATGTCGACCAGTCATCAACGTAACTGTAACCACTATCGATTTTTGGTTAAGACACGCGTACTAAAAAAATTAAAACGAATTTAATTAAATGTGATTAATGTTCAAAATTGAAGTAACAAAGCCAAAATCATATCATCAAACACCACACCACCAGTAATTATCACCGAAAATTATGTGTGATTAGAAAAAACCAAACACAAGTTACACGTTAGACACCAAAGCAAGCTGACCAATAGCAGCTACTGAAATTTACTAAAATGGAAGGTGTGTTAATAAAATTGAATTATTAATTTTATGTTGGCTATAATGACTGGTTCACGAATAAGTTTTCGGTTCGCGCTTTTTGCTTATTGCAAAATCACATGTTATTTCGAACTATCGTATTTAGTTCCTTGTGAAAAAGTTAAAGGTCAGTTCGCAAGTGTAGATGGTCGTTAAAGCAATAAAAATAGTACAGCGAAATGGAGAAGAATTCCAAAGAAAAATCCAATACATCTCGAAGTAGATTTGACAGTTTCAATACTATAAATGAGAAACCGGTGGATGATATTTCTTTAGAAGCTTTCTACACCCCACATAGCATATCTGCCCTTGCAATATCGATAGCTATCGTTATTTATTTTGCTTTCGTTAGGTAAGTGGTGATAATAGTTTTTAGAAGGTTAGGTTATGTAAGAATTACACCTTTTCAGTACCTAGAAAGGGTTTGTTCCAACTGATATGTCTTTAACAGGCGTTTCTTATCTAATAGAAGTTTTTTGCGTTCTTTTATCAATGATCTTTGACTTTTCTGCACTAGAATCTAATATAATTAACTAGATAAAATGATAGATTAATCGTACTCATTAACTTTTATTTCTTTATTTTAACCTTCTTAACGTACCTCTCTTAACTCTTTTTTGTTGTAAAAATATGAATTATAATCTCTCATATGAATAGAAAAATTATTACTATTTAGTATGTATTTATATTTTACATGGATTTATGGGTAAAAAATGAGTCATCCTTTATTGTTGCAGTAATAATGAATCTTATTTTATATTAATTACAGAAAGAAATATGTAAAGATCCTTAAATTTAAAATATAGGTAGTAAGAGTCACGAAGCTTGTTTCTCAAAATTAAAATAATAAATCCATGACGAAAGCCAACAATTTTTAATTGATTGTAATTATATTGTTTTTTATTTTCATGCACAGCCAAGAGTAATGAAAATGCTTGTCTCGTACCTTTTAATCTCCAAATCGTAAGTTGTAGAGTTGAAAGAAATCAGTTTTTTTCACATTTTTTAGTGAATTTTTAAATTCTTTTTAGTATACATATTTTACAACAGCGATGATGTAGATGTATTAGTTTTTGATTATTGTATGTAGTTAGTCGTTTGTAGTCGTTTATTTAAATTTATGGGTGTCGAAAAACGATTGTTATGTTTGATTGAATCAAGCAAGCAGATTAAATTTTCAATTTTTTTTTCGTAAAAGGAGAGTTATTGGTTCAATCCAATAATAAAAATCTGGTTGATACCTATTTAAGCATAGTTCATTTTCAGTAAAAGAGTGAATTTGTGTTAATTTTTAATAATGAACATTTAATTATTCAATTTTTTAGTGCATGGTTTTTTAGAGTATAGTTGGAGACAAAATACTTTGGTCGTCACTTTTCTGACACTTTAATATAATTCAAGCTTTAACGTTAAAATGAATGACGATTTCAAATTAATGACAGCTATTATATTTTCCTATCAAAAATATGTACATACAACTTGTCAACTATGATTGACAGTATCTAAAAATAAGGTTAACAGTCCTAAAGCATGCTTTACAATTTAATGTCACTCAAGTGACATTGATGACCAAAGTATTTTGTCTCCAACTGTACCTACTATTTTATATAATAAAAATATAAAAAAATAGTATATTACATATTTAACGAGCTCATTATGGAGGCCCCAATTCAAGAGGATGATATTTATACACGAGCCAATGGCGAGTGTATAAATCATCCAAGTCAGTAGTTATTATGTGGGAGTCAAATAATACGTTTTCTTTGCAATCTTTTTTTTTTTATAACACTTTCTACATACAAAATTTATATTTATTACAATGACAGCTTTGGTCACTGGTGCAACGTTGACGTGACCTCGATCGTGACTTATGAGTAGTGTAATTTATGAGTAGCATAGTGTATGTTTAGATTTGTAAATAACAAATGTATTGCCAGTACAAAAATAAGCATTTTTGGAATTACTCTTTTTTATGTTAATATCATTGGCGTTTTAATGTTTGTTGCTCGATAATAAATTAAAATAATTTTTCTACGACCCTAACAGAAAAAGTTTTTCCACCCTAATTTCAGAAAGGAAAGTGACCCGTTACTTCCCTTACCTATCAAAATTCTAATAAAAATATAAATATAACCTCTCAGGAATGTAAAAATTTTACCTCTTTCATAGAAACGCAATACCATGCTGCTATATTTAATGGCCAAATTGTGATATCAAGAAAAATTGTTAGTTTTGAAGTTTTTCACACGTATTACACTGGAAGAAAGTGAGTGGTTACTCCCTTGACAAGTAACTACCACCTGTGGGAGGAAAAGATACATTTTCCACTCTTATAACACAAATAACCACAGGATGATTGAAAAGTGTGGGGCCAACTCTCGAATGGTGATGAAGCTAATCATAAAAATAAACAGAACTGTCAATTTTTTTGTTTTCGATGTTACCGGATTTAATTCATTGTTGAATTTGCTAGTTTGTTAAATGTTTTATACACCATAACTACGATAAGACACAAATTGGTGATTTTTTTCAATAGGAATCTGTTTAATGTTGTAACTTTTTAATCATCCTGTATTAATTAATACTTATTTAGAATAGTGTTGTTAAAAAATTAAAGGGTCTGTTTTCTTAGTCTCAATTTTGTTGTTGTAGGGACACAGACAACGTCGAAAACAACATATGGGCGGGCATGCTATGTTGCATCTTCTTCTTCCTCATCATCTCTGTGTTGGCTTTCCCCAACGGCCCTTTCACTCGTCCACATCCGGCCGTTTGGCGCGTCGTCTTCGGCATGAGCGTCATCTACCTTATGGGCTGTCTATTTTTCCTTTTCCAAAATTATCAAACCGTCAAAAACATCCTGCTCTGGTTTGACCCAAGTCTCAAGGACTTCCACATAGACATGGACAAAGAATACGGCGTGAATTGTTCGGACATAACCCTGGAACGCATTTGGGGCCACATCGACGTTTTTGCTTTAGGCCACTACTTGGGCTGGTTGTTCAAGGCGATTTTGATAAGACACATGGGGATTTTATGGGCGATCAGCTTCATGTGGGAGATCACCGAAATCGCCTTCGCTCATCTCTTACCAAACTTTATCGAATGTTGGTGGGACGCATTGATACTCGACGTGTTAGTATGCAACGGTTTCGGCATTTGGTGCGGTTTGAAGATTTGCGAAAAACTTGAAATGCGGGAGTACAAATGGGTCAGCATTAGAGACATCCATACGACTTCGGGCAAAATCAAGCGTGCCATGCTTCAATTTACTCCGGAAAGTTGGACATCGGTGCGGTGGTTGGACCCCAAATGCTCCTACATGAGGGTTTTTGCACTTTGTCAGTTGGTATTATTTTGGCAGACTTCTGAACTCAACACGTTTTTCCTCAAACATGTTTTCGAATTACCAGCATCTCATCCACTAGTCAGCGCTAGGTTGATTCTCATCGGTGTAATAGTGGCGCCCTCTGTGCGACAGTACTACAGCTACGTTACGGATACGACGTGTAAAAGAGTAGGCACCCAATGCTGGGTCTATGGGTGTATCATGGTCTCGGAGGCTTTGATTTGTATAAAACATGGAAGGGAGCTGTTTGAACGGACTCAAGCCATCAATATAATCGTATGGTTGATGGTACAGTTGGTTATTTCTGTGGCTTGTGTGATAGGGTGTGTTATGTGGCATAGGGCCGGATTGGCACGGGGGAATTCCAGAGATTTGAGTCCAGTGAAAAGCGTTGCCGGTGCAAAAGTCCTGTTTGAGAATAGTGATGAGAAGGAAGATTGATGTTCTAAAGACTGTTGATATTGTTTAGTTAATTTTTTACCTCTTGTGATCTAGTCATTTAGAGTTGATTTATCTGCGATTGTTTTATTGAGTTTGTTACGACTTTTGGCATTTGTGAAAAGTAAAGTTGACGGTATCACAATTAGGGTTGATTTTAACGGTTGAATTTATGTAGAAAATTACATAATAGATTGATGTTGAATTTATAAAATAAAAAACATTTTTAGTGAACTCATAAAAAGCCTGAAATGGGAGCAATAAAAATTAAAATAATTTCTCAAATCTCCATGACGCTGTTTAGATCTAATAACCATAATTTTTTGCTTAATTTCCTTTAGGACCGATTTCTGGTAGGATTAAACCTCCGTTAAATTTTTTAAATGTAAATTTTTAAAAGTTTTACCGTTTCTAAAGTACGAGTAGTTTAAATTTAAACATGTGTCCAGAAATCGGGCCGAGTTGGTTATTTTTACTAAACAATCAGTAAGTGATAACGCTGATAATTATCAAAGGTTTTAAAAGCTAAAATAAAAAAATGTAGCTGTAAATTAACATAAACTAATTAAAATTTGTCTGAATTATCAATTTGTAATGTTAGTCAATAAATAAAATGTGTATAATGTTAAAGTCAACCTATCAATTTGTGTTACGTTATTTAAAAAACGGAAATATGTGTCATGTTTTATGTACAAAAACCAAAGATTAATAAAAAAGAAAAGAAACCCTTGGATTTATTTACATTTCATTATACCTACACATATACAGTATGGCCCCAGATTGCGTTTATAAGAGAAAAATTTTTTTTTTTTGATGTTACATCAAAATTTCAAAGGAATAACATTTTTTGCTTAACTTGAAACAAACAAATCTGTCATTCTGGTTGTGGAATTTTTCTCTTGATTTTTTTTTTTACTTTTAAGTCCCATCGCTGAGTAATGATTGTTCTTATTAAAAATGACTTTATTTTTTAGCTTAATGCTGTTTCTTTTAGTTGCCGTTTATTAAAATTATGTTTTCACAAACATTTTTGTTATTTAACATGCGTAAACTCATTTGCCAAAGTGGCATCGTTGTCAATAAAATAAAACCGCCAATTAAAACGCAGTGAAAAAGTCCAAATCAAAACAAAAATAAATTGTTCTTTCCACTGGGTCAAAATAGTGAAGTTTTAATTTCAAATTTGTTTGTTTCAGGTCAAGCAAAAAAGTTTTCCCTTTGCAGTGTTGGCGTAAAATCAAAAATTAAATAAATATTTTTCTTGTAAACTTAATCCGGGGATATACTGTATTTATTTAATATTGAAAAAATGGTGTAGGTAAATTTTATCTCTTTGGTCCTCTTTATTTAGGTTTTTTTTTTCAGTTTAAAAAAAAAAGTAATACTACCTACAGGGTGCGCCAGAACTCACGCCCCAGAGAAAATTTTCAAATAAGGAATGATACCAGAAACATGAAAAAAATGTTTAAAAAATTCTATTTGTCAAAAAATTTTGACATTTATTTTGTGACATTTGACATTTTTTTATATCTATTTAAGGATACTGATGATCTTGTATATGTTTTTTTTTTACAATTATTTAATAAAGGGACAAAAATTTTGCCAATAAAGGCCACAAATAACATTAATTAGAGTTGCAATTTGGATACAGCTTCCTTGTTTTTCCATGTTCCTGGTATCTTACCTTATATGGCATTTTTTTCTGGGGCGCGAGTTCTGGCGCACCCTGTATATTTAATTCAAAAAGGTTATAAAACAAAATTGGACAGTGTTTTTTAATTTCAGGATTTGTTCTGTACGAACCAAGCCGAGGCAAGTAAATTCGCTAGGTATTATTAAAGTTTTATAGACCGTTTAAAAATCGAGGTCGTAGCTTAAATTCTAGCGACCGTCAGGCGTCATACCATAACTTTTAATATGATTGTTCGTTCACAATCAAACTTTCATACGTGGAGGGATAGCTTTGTCGCCAAAGTTAAAAAAACACCCGTTAAAATTTTATTAATAAAGAAATTTGGCAAAATTGACATAATGCCAAGTTAAGTGTGTTTTATGTACTGGGTGACTGTAAATAATTGTGATTTTTTTTATTTTTTAGTTTTTTATCTCAAGTTGGTGTCAAATTTAAAATTTTAGTTTGGCCACCTTGACTTTCAAATTCAAACGACGAATTTTTAGAGGCAATTATAACTCATTTAAAATTAAAAGGATCACCAATAATTCAATGTTGCCAATGCATTTTTCGACACACATTAATAGTCACCCGGTACTTATAAAATACGTTGTTATTGACGACTTATTTTATAGAAGAGCGTGTATTAACGCCAACACAACAGGTAAGCTTAAATGCACCATAGAAACAGGATAAGATACTGGTGTTGGAAAAGCTTATTTTTTCTGATCTGTTAAATTAAACAAATAACTTGTTACCTAACGAATGCAACATAACTACCTAAAGCTGTAGTAGTATCCTTTTAATTTTTCCCGTTTATCGTAAACCTGTGTTTACACAAATAACACAATCCCATGCGCTACTCGTTCTGTCTTTGTTGTTACTATGCGAATGAGTGAGACAAAATGCAAACGGTCAAGCGTAGCGGAAATAGGAGGGACCACCAGTCGTTCTCAAACTATGAGACTCCACTAAGCTATAATTTGTTATTATTATTTTTTAATAAATTAATAAGTCTTTTGTGTGTTTCCAAGCAAAACAAAATGTTAACAGTCTGTTTATTTTATTAAACATCCATCATTAATTGTCAATTTCTCTTGCTGCATTTTTTAACCTATTGAGAATCTCTGTTATGTTTTGGTTGAGTGGACTAGATAGGCGTGCTGAAGTTTGCTGTCTCTTTTATACGACCAAGTGCGAGAAAGACAACATACCACTTGTGGGACCAGAGAGCGGCATAACGTTTATCTTACTTGCTCCTACCTACTTACTTGAAGAGCAAGAGAGACAACAAAGTTTTATGACATTCGGGTAAAATTAAAAGAATTCTTCTATATGAAGTAAACGTGAACAGTTACCATTATTTATAAGATTTTTTACTTTTTTTATCCAGATTTTTACATTCCTGGACGAATTATAGCTTCAAGATACCAAAAAAGTTGGTTTGGGCCATTAGGTCGAGTGTTTGTGTGTGTGTGTGTGTGTGTGTCTGTCTGTAAACAGCATATCTCGAGAATGATAAAAGCTAGAAACTTGAAATTTGGTATATGAGTTACTTGTAGGAAGGGGATGCAGTACGAAACAATTGGTAAAAATCGGTCGCACCGTTCGGCCGCAAAGACCAAAAAGCGGCCGCAAAATTATACGGTTGAAGATACAATAAATTCATGGGGGATACAAATTATTTAGAATCATGAAATATACCTTATTAAACAGTAAAATGTGATAAAATAAGAATAATATTAGGTACCGAACTAAAAAAAACTGCACCCCAGACTCGAATCCGCGACAACTATGATCCATTTCGCGTGTAATCCGGCAGTGTGCACTAACGCATTTTCTTTTTCCAAATAAGTAGGATAAGGAAAGGCGTGTGATGTTTACACCAGATTTTTTTTTGAAAGTCCTCAAAATTGTTTTGTGAAAAAAAATATGTGATATTATTTATTTGACGTTCACCATTTTTTTCTGAATAAACAAAGAAAATGCTCGTAAAAGTGAGAGTGACTGAGATGAGCACGGGTCAATTTTGACGGAAGCTCTCAATGGATTTGCTTAAAATTTAATAGACAGACATTTATACTATTATAATAACTATATTATAACTCGTACTCGAACAGGTAAAATAATATAAAAATATCTAATTTAATTCTCCTTCTAGTAGAGTCAGAAAGAGTGCTTTTAACACTCCTACTTTAGAAAAATTATGATTATATTTATGTAGGTACTATTTTATTACAGATATTACGTATTTATAAATTATGTAATCAGAAAGGCGGATTAACTCGTTGACTCATTTTGTCTATGAAAATTAATAAATTACTTAATAAAAGAAAGAAATAACACACCACCTTAGTTTTTTTATTTCTTTCCCATGCATTTAGTTAATTTTAAGTCCTCAGTGAATTTATTTACATAAAAAATTGAATGAATAGTAAATTGGGTCAATTTTGCAGCTGTTTTATTTATTTCTTTTCGCATTTCGCCCGAATTTTATTATAAATTATTTTCTCTCCATTAAATGGGCAACAGGTGGCACCTCTACCATATCTAACACAAAAGGCAAAATTTGTAAAACATCTGGCATTGGTAGCAACGACATTGAAAGAAAAAGTCGAACCAAAAAACTGTTTTTTTAAGTAATCATTATTTGACTCGGTTCAGAGTGGACAAACCTGCACAATCGCACACTGAAATTGATTTTAGGATTAAAATTCAGGTGGGATTATTCCGCTTTTCCACCAAATTCGCGAGAAAAACAACAAAAACGCGTGCTATTTATGAAGTGTGTTATTCAGTGAGATTATTGGAGTGTATTTAGGCACTAATTTTGCCAAAGTTGGGTGCAAAGGCGGTGGGCGTAACCATGCAACACACCCTCGCGGGACTGCCCCCGCAGGGGACGTTGGCACATGCATCCTCGGTTAGCAACCTCGCAAAGACGACGGTCACTGTCGCCGACGATGCACTCAGTGTGAGTGGGTCGTTAAACAGTCGGAGGAATGCGGCCGAACGGAAGATAATACGTCGAGGATTTGTGGAGATCATGGTGATAAACGTACAGCGTTCATTGATTTCGGCTCGATTATCAAAATTTGATATGACAACGTGCACCAAATCGGGGGACAAGCCCATCAACGGGGTCAACTGAACAGGGGGGGAGTGGAGGGACGGCGTATTTGAGACGGCTGACGCCCCTTAGCCCTCGGTTGTTGGTTCACGGGCTGGGTATCAGCTGGCGTTTACCCTAAACTAGGCAGTGGCGTAGCGCGAGTTTTTGCCAATGGATGAGTTAAGCGTTCTTACGTTGAATGGAGAATAAAATAGACTGCTTTTTCATTGAACTTTATTCAAAATTTGTTTTGAAATCGACATTCATACATGTAGTTTATTATTAGTGATCCAAAAATCATCATTGTTCATTTTTTTACAAGAAATTGAACGTAATTTTGATTTAACATCAGATCATTTTACATAGAAATCACTTTTTTACTTTACACTTCAAAAGCCACAGTTGCGTTGTTGATATTTTGCAGATATAAAATTCTGTCATGAACTTATTTTTTGTTTTTTAGCACTAAATTTATCAGCAGGGTCTACGTTGTAAGACAGAAACCCAAAAAATAATAATAATTTGTAAGATTACTTAGTATTTTTTCTTGGGTTCTGTTCATCACAAATTAATACAGAAAAAAAAAAAGATCACCCACACACTCAAGAGTCGCGAACTGGAATTTATACATATAACTTTTTAATTTTTTAACACCAATTAGTGACTAGTTGATCCTGTTATTATGGATTATAAGATTAAAAAACCCAAAAAAATTCAGGTTTCAGCGGAAACAGCCTTTTAGTAAAAAAGACAAATAAACGAGATATAATATAAAAAAAAAAATGTTCAAGAAAAAGTGATCTTCCATCACTGATTACTTAAAGTTTAAAAAAAAATAACTAATTTTTCAATTCATAATACATCTTGGTCGAGATTTCTGACCTACACTTGCTAAAAAAGAAAAAAATAGTTTACCCTTTTAAGTATGAAATGAGACTAAC